ATGAATACTTATAGACTAATGATTCAATTTTGGTGTTTAGATGACAAATAAGAACAGTAATGCCTCTTTTCAGATTATGCGTGAGAAATACCCTAAAATTTCGAATATCAATTTAAATTTCACACATGTATCATATTTTTGATATATCATATCAAACCAATAGACACACATTGATCATTACATGACAAAAGTTGATGTGTTATCAAACAATTCAGTTGATGTCGAATACTTTAATAATTAAATATAAGTCTAAAGGAATACTCTCTTCTCAGCAACAAGAGAAAAATTGGAAAATTACAATTTAAAATAGTAAATTTTACTGTTTCAAAGCTCTTTCAAGGATGTGATGAACATGTTCACGCGTGATAGTCTTACGATATCCAAAAGGATTCCTCCTTCTGACTTCATGACCATTTCAGTGACAGACACATCACATCTTCTGGAGCAACAACTGCACCTTCTTGATCAGTAACCTTTGTAAATTGACCAATCTTTACTGTCCATTCACGAGTTTAGCAATGAATGCTTTGCCTTTTCAGCATCAGAACCTTCATGAACATCGAACGTTCAGAGCACAGGCAAGATTATATTCACGCTCATTGATGAACTCTTCGAGAAGGAATGGAGAAATAATAGCTAATGTTGAGGCATGATCAATTCCCCACTTAGCTGTGAGCATGTGACCAATACCATGGATACCCCAGCAAACTTCCTTTCCGAGAGCTAAAACGTAGTTGAGAGCAAAGCTGCAAGCAACAATGAGTCTTTCATGCATTTCAAGTGTTGAGTTATCCTTAGAGAGGATTGGGCCAGAAATATCACACGAGTTCTCTCATGACTGAAAAGAAGAAGTTATCTTGCATTGGGAGAACGTGTGGAGTAAGAACTTGATCCATGCAATGTGTCATAGCATCGAAAAGACCGTTTCTAAGTTGTCTGATTGGAAGTGTCATTGGTAAAGTGGATCAAGAAGAGAGAATGATGGATATAAAATCAACATTCCGAGTTTTTCATGTGTATCTTCCTTGAAACAACGGATCCATTGTTCCATTCAGATCTGTAGCTGGAATTGTTATGATCGCACCAACTGGTGTTGTTTTCTCAGGGCGAACACCCTTTGTTGGAATGTCCCATGGATCATTGATTCATCAAGGTTCATTGCAAGGGAAATGAACTTTGTGCCATCGAGGATAGAGCACCACCGACAGCAAGAAGTAAATCTGGCTTGAATGCCTTGGCAACTTTGACAATTTCGATAAGACGATCGTATTCTGGATTTGGTGGAATGCCGCCTTCCCAAATTGTTTCGCAATGGAGTTCAGCTAAAGCCTTTGTAACATCTGCACGAGCTCCATTCTTGTCGATGGAGCCAACCCGAATGTAACTAAACTCTGGAATTTGGTTTACAAAATCCTTGAAATGCTCTTCAACGCAATGCTGACCAAACAACCGCGTGTTGTATGTTCCAAAGCCACTTCATATTTGAAAGCTAGGTAAAAATGAAGTGATTGAGAGTGTGAATTTTTCTTTAGAAAATTTGAGAGCATAAATTTATGGTATGAATTCACACGACCAATAGAATTTTTCTGTTCCATCGCTATGGAAAAGATGATTACTGGTTATGATAGAATATAATCAATAGACGATGTAAAATCGCTAAATTTTGAATTGTTCTAAAAAATTCTGAAAAAAATGGCAAAAATTAGATAAGGTCAAAACAAGTTTCCTTATTGCAATATATAATAATAAAGAGTATATTGAGCTCTTATTTCACATGAATTATAGTATATGGAGATAAAGGACGAAGTTTTAGAGCAATTTCTAAAATGATGGCTTTATATTTATCCATGAAATTAGACGTTTTATCTTATCATTAGTTTGGTAATTTAATTCCAAATAAATACATATATTCATAATCGAATGATTCGAGATTAAATAATTACTAAATATTATATGCATATATTAACATATAACACTTATTTAAGCGTTTACTCTTGGATATCATACCTCCAGAGTATCTTTTGTTAATTTGTTGGAATTGCTCGTTTTGGAACTATAATTTATATGGGAGTAGGGTTGCTAAATTTATAATGAGAGGTCTTTGTTAGTGAATGCTATGTCAAGACAGCCAATTGGATCTGATGATATATAGCAGGAATGCATTTTGATTTAAGTTAAAAAACTGTTTTTATCGTATTCATTTCAAATCACATGGCAGTACTCTCAATAATTTTTTCCCCGTCGATTTGTAAAGTTCCCCACTTTTAGCAAGCCTAAGTTCGAGGAAAAAAAAGTCACTTTTCCAAAGCATACTGAGATTTAAAAATAAAATTTGTTCTGTAAAACTTTTAGGTAAAATCTTGAAGTTTTGTCCTAAATATGCCTTATTGATTTAAACGCAATATAGACAGATCCATGAGTTTCGAATTTTGCAATGCGATTTATACATACTGGACAACTAGAGCTTCCGTATCACAAGAATAATATGTTTTATGATAATTAATATCTTTACTACAAATGAAGTTATAAGCAATTAGTTTAACCAAACAATAATACTGCTACTTTACAACCACTTGCGAGTCTTCTTCACCTACATTCTTGAGTTCATTAAGTACAAGAAACATTTTATTCTCAACTACTGAGTTGAAATTACCCGTTAGCTCACTTATTTCAGTAATGTTTTTGCATGAATAACCAGCGAGGAGTTCAGAAATAATGTCTGTAAATCTGTTTTTACCTGTTCCTGAAGTCCTTTCAAAATAATTGCTGTTTCATTCTTGATTCCAGGATGTTGAATCATTGATGCAATCCAGCCGAGAAGGTATTTATACACTTCATCATTATTATCACATATGGCTTCTTTAATGAAATCCTAAACATCTCAATTTTTGAGTAATCTGGTTTTTCGAGAATGTTGTATTATAACCCTGAAACGTTGAGAAAACATCTGGGGAATCAGATTTAAAGCAAACACCCTTAACGGTTAATGAGGATAATTGATTTAGTAGTACATCCCATGCTGTTATTGTTTTACCTTCTTCTTTTAAATAATTTAATCATTTTAAGTGACTCTTTCATGTTTGATTGAAGAACGAATGTATTTGATTCATTTTGTCGTGGATATTATAGTCCTTTTGAATGAAATATTGTTTCACCAATCTAAAACCGGATTACACGTGATAAATCCTCAATTACTTCAGAACTGTTTTTATACTGATGATTTTCAGCCTTGCGTCTAATATCTGTTATCAAAAACGAGTCATCAAGTTTTATATCAAATGTTATTTTTGGCTTACGTAATAAGGTAAACATATTCATCATAATATTCTTTTGATATAGTTTTAGAATCTTCACCAAAACAAATGAGAAGTCATTAAATGTTATCTACTACGTGCTTTTTCAAATTACTTTTTGCATTTTCAGTTAAACTGCAGAAGTTATAAACGTTATCGTATGCTTCATTAATTAAATGATTAGTAACGAATTAATAGCTTGAAACAGTGTGAATAATGTTATTTTTTTTCTACAATTCATATTTCCACCGTATTATGTATTCAAATCACTAATACATCAACTATGCTCTGAGCAAGTTTTATCGTCAATGTTTAATCTTTGTTTTTCATCATTATACTCTTTATTTCTTCGTTCTTTTGTTCAACTCTTACCTTAATATTCAAATCATTTAATATATATTCACTGTTCTGGTTAATGTTGAATGTAACTTCCACGAATGAATGAGTATGTATTGATTGGTTCTGTTGCATTCTTGCGAATCTTGAATCGACATAACCACTAATGAACGCTTGAATCATCAATAGAAGTCATGATATCAATATCATAATCATTGCAGGAATAACATTTAATCATCTGTCGAAACTGCATAAAGAAATTAGTGTTGCAATAAATGTGAAGACCTCCTGATGCGGTTTTAACGATAACCATTTTATCCGAATTTTGATAAAATGTCTTTTTCTAACTGTTCTTTAAGTTCATCATTGGTATATTTTATTGATATCACATCTATAATGTTAAATTTGATATTTTATTTACTAATAAAGCCTACCAGTTTTCTTCCTCTTCTCCCTGTTTGAGGTAGTTATGTAATAATCTTGTTTTCAACCTTGCGAAGCAATGAATACTTATAGACTAATGATTCAATTTTTGGTGTTTAGATGACAAATAAGAACAGTAATGCCTCTTTTCAGATTATGCGTGAGAAATACCCTAAAATTTCGATATCAATTTAAATTTCACACATGTATCATATTTTTGATATATCATATCAAACCAATAGACACACATTGATCATTACATGACAAAAGTTGATGTGTTATCAAACAATTCAGTTGATGTCGAATACTTTAATAATTAAATATAAGTCTAAAGGAATACTCTCTTCTCAGCAACAAGAGAAAAATTGGAAAATTACAATTTAAAATAGTAAATTTTACTGTTTCAAAGCTCTTTCAAGGATGTGATGAACATGTTCACGCGTGATAGTCTTACGATATCCAAAAGGATTTCCTCCTTCTGACTTCATGACCATTTCAGTGACAGCATCAACATCTTCTGGAGCAACAACTGCACCTTCTTGATCAGTAACCTTTGTAAATTGACCAATCTTTACTGTCCATTCACGGAGTTTAGCAATGAATGCCTTTGCCTTTTCAGCATCAGAACCTTCATGAACATCGAAAACACGTTCAGCAGCACGAGCAAGATTATATTCACGCTCATTGATGAACTCTTCGAGAAGGAATGGAGAAATAATAGCTAATGTTGAAGCATGATCAATTCCCCACTTAGCTGTGAGCATGTGACCAATACCATGGATACCCCAGCAAACTTCCTTTCCGAGAGCTAAAACGTAGTTGAGAGCAAAGCTGCAAGCAACAATGAGTCTTTCATGCATTTCAAGTGTTGAGTTATCCTTAGAGAGGATTGGGCCAGAAATATCAACGAGTTCTCTCATGACTGAAAAGAAGAAGTTATCTTGCATTGGGAGAACGTGTGGAGTAAGAACTTGATCCATGCAATGTGTCATAGCATCGAAAAGACCGTTTCTAAGTTGTCTGATTGGAAGTGTCATTGTGTAAAGTGGATCAAGAAGAGAGAATGATGGATATAAAATCAACATTCCGAGTTTTTCATGTGTACTTCTTCTTGAAACAACGGATCCATTGTTCCATTCAGATCCTGTAGCTGGAATTGTTATGATCGCACCAACTGGTGTTGTTTTCTCAGGGCGAACACCCTTTGTTGGAATGTCCCATGGATCAATTGATTCATCAAGGTTCATTGCAAGGGAAATGAACTTTGTGCCATCGAGGATAGAGCCACCACCGACAGCAAGAAGTAAATCTGGCTTGAATGCCTTGGCAACTTTGACAATTTCGATAAGACGATCGTATTCTGGATTTGGTGGAATGCCGCCTTCCCAAATTGTTTCGCAATGGAGTTCAGCTAAAGCCTTTGTAACATCTGCACGAGCTCCATTCTTGTCGATGGAGCCACCACCGAATGTAACTAAAACTCTGGAATTTGGTTTAACAAAATCCTTGAAATGCTCTTCAACGCAATGCTGACCAAAACCAACGCGTGTTGTATTGTTCCAAAGCCACTTCATATTTGAAAGCTAGGTAAAAATGAAGTGATTGAGAGTGTGAATTTTTCTTTAGAAAATTTGAGAGCATAAATTTATGGTATGAATTCACACGACCAATAGAATTTTTCTGTTCCATCGCTATGGAAAAGATGATTACTGGTTATGATAGAATATAATCAATAGACGAAAATGTAAAATCGCTAAATTTTGAATTGTTCTAAAAAAATTCTGAAAAAAATGGCAAAAATTAGATAAGGTCAAAACAAGTTTCCTTATTGCAATATATAATAATAAAGAGTATATTGAGCTCTTATTTCACATGAATTATAGTATATTGGAGATAAAGGACGAAGTTTTAGAGCAATTTCTAAAATGATGGCTTTATATTTATCCATGAAATTAGACGTTTTATCTTATCATTAGTTTGGTAATTTAATTCCAAATAAATACATATATTCATAATCGAATGATTCGAGATTAAAAATAATTACTAAAATTATATATGCATATATTAACATATAACACATTATTTAAGCGTTTACTCTTGGATATCATACTCCAGAGTATCTTTTGTTAATTTGTTGGAATTGCTCGTTTTGGAACTATAATTTATATGGGAGTAGGGTTGCTAAATTTATAATGAGAGGTCTTTGTTAGTGAATGCTATGTCAAGACAGCCAATTGGATCTGATGATATATAGCAGGAATGCATTTTGATTTATAGTTAAAAAACTGTTTTTATCGTATTCATTTCAAATCACATGGCAGTACTCTCAATAATTTTTTCCCCGTCGATTTGTAAAGTTCCCCACTTTTAGCAAGCCTAAGTTCGAGGAAAAAAAAGTCACTTTTCCAAAGCATACTGAGATTTAAAAATAAAATTTGTTCTGTAAAACTTTTAGGTAAAATCTTGAAGTTTTGTCCTAAATATGCCTTATTGATTTAAACGCAATATAGACAGATCCATGAGTTCGAATTTTGCAATGCGATTTTATACATACTGGACAAACGTAGAGCTTCCGTATCACAAGAATAATATGTTTTATGATAATTAATATCTTTACTACAAATGAAGTTATAAGCAATTAGTTTACAAAAATATATGCTATTTACACACTGAGTCTTCATCTAGAGATATTTTTTTTTAGATTTTGAAACAGTGAAAAGATTAAATATGATCAATGTATGCATTATTTACGTTTATTCATAAAAATATCAATTCTATCATAGAAAAAAGTACTTTTAAGTGCAAAAAATTGAATAGTTGTAAACTAATGCAGTGAGCCCTTAACTAGTGGTGTTTTGCACCATTTAAAATATGTTCGACTATTGCATTGTTATTAAATTTTGATGCATAATCAAGAGCTGTTAGTCCAAATTTATCTCTTTCGTTGATATTTATACCATGTGCAATTAGAAGTTCTACATTTTCTTTATCTAGAGTGATTACTGCATAATGAAGACCGGTTCTACCGGAATCATCTTTTTCATTGACTTTTGCACCATATGAAATAAGAAGTTCTAGTATTTCTTTAAATTGAAGCCCTGCTGCGGTTAAAAAAGCTGTATCTCCATATCTATCTTTTTCATTGATATTTGCACCATTTAAAATAAGAAGTTCTACCATTTCCTTTTTATTAAAGTTCGCTGCACTGTAAAGAGGGGTGTGATAATGTTTCGCATTGACATTTGCACCGTGTGAAAGAAGGAGTTTTGCTATTTCTTTATAATTATAACATGCTGCAATATGAAGAGCTGTGTCTCCCATTTTATCATATTCGTTGACTTTTGCACCATATGAAAGAAGAAGTTCCACTATTTCTTTATTATTTTTTTCTGTGGCAATATGAAGAGCGGTTTTCCTCTGTTTATCTTTTTCATTGACTTTTGCACGACGTGAAAGAAGGACTTCTGCTATTTCTTTATTATTACATTCTGCTGCATAATCAAGAGCTCTTTTTCCATCTTTATCTTTTTCATTTATTTTTGCACCGCGTGAAAGAAGGAGTTCTGCTATTTCTTTATTATTATTATATTTTGCGGCATAATGAAGAGCTGTTTGCCCGATTTCATCCTGTTCGTTGACTTTTGCACCATGTGAAAGAAGAAATTCTGCTATTTCTTTATTATTACATTCTGCTGCATAATCAAGAGCTCTTTTTCCATCTTTATCTTTTTCATTTATTTTTGCACCATGTGAAAGAAGGAGTTCTGCTATTTCTTTATTATTATTATATTTTGCGGCATAATGAAGAGCGGTTTTCCTCTGTTTATCTTTTTCATTGACTTTTGCACGACGTGAAAGAAGAAATTCTGCTATTTCTTTATTATTACATTCTGCTGCATAATCAAGAGCTCTTTTTCCATCTTTATCTTTTTCATTTATTTTTGCACCATGTGAAAGAAGGAGTTCTGCTATTTCTTTATTATTATTATATTTTGCGGCATAATGAAGAGCGGTTTTCCTCTGTTTATCTTTTTCATTGACTTTTGCACGACGTGAAAGAAGGACTTCTGCTATTTCTTTATTATTACATTCTGCTGCATAATCAAGAGCTCTTTTTCCATCTTTATCTTTTTCATTTATTTTTGCACCATGTGAAAGAAGGAGTTCTGCTATTTCTTTATTATTATTATATTTTGCGGCATAATGAAGAGCTGTTTGCCCGATTTCATCCTGTTCGTTGACTTTTGCATCATGTGAAAGAAGAAATTCTGCTATTTCTTTATTATTACATTCTGCTGCATAATCAAGAGCTCTTTTTCCATCTTTATCTTTTTCATTTATTTTTGCACCATGTGAAAGAAGGAGTTCTGCTATTTCTTTATTATTATTATATTTTGCGGCATAATGAAGAGCTGTTTGCCCGATTTCATCCTGTTCGTTGACTTTGCATCATGTGAAAGAAGAAATTCTGCTATTTCTTTATTATTACATTCTGCTGCATAATCAAGAGCTCTTTTTCCATCTTTATCTTTTTCATTTATTTTTGCACCATGTGAAAGAAGGAGTTCTGCTATTTCTTTATTATTATTATATTTTGCGGCATAATGAAGAGCTGTTTGCCCGATTTCATCCTGTTCGTTGACTTTTGCATCATGTGAAAGAAGAAATTCTGCTATTTCTTTATTATTACATTCTGCTGCATAATCAAGAGCTCTTTTTCCATCTTTATCTTTTTCATTTATTTTTGCACCGCGTGAAAGAAGGAGTTCTGCTATTTCTTTATTATTACATTCTGCTGCATAATCAAGAGCTCTTTTTCCATCTTTATCTTTTTCATTGACTTTTGCACCATGTGAAAGAAGGAGTTCTGCTATTTCTTTATTATTATTATATTTTGCGGCATAATGAAGAGCTGTTTGCCCGATTTCATCCTGTTCGTTGACTTTTGCACCATGTGAAAGAAGAAATTCTGCTATTTCTTTATTATTACATTCTGCTGCATAATCAAGAGCTCTTTTTCCATCTTTATCTTTTTCATTTATTTTTGCACCATGTGAAAGAAGGAGTTCTGCTATTTCTTTATTATTATTATATTTTGCGGCATAATGAAGAGCGGTTTTCCTCTGTTTATCTTTTTCATTGACTTTTGCACGACGTGAAAGAAAAATTCTGCTATTTCTTTATTATTACATTCTGCTGCATAATCAAGAGCTCTTTTTCCATCTTTATCTTTTTCATTTATTTTTGCACCATGTGAAAGAAGGAGTTCTGCTATTTCTTTATTATTATTATATTTTTGCGGCATAATGAAGAGCTGTTTGCCCGATTTCATCCTGTTCGTTGACTTTTGCATCATGTGAAAGAAGAAATTCTGCTATTTCTTTATTATTACATTCTGCTGCATAATCAAGAGCTCTTTTTCCATCTTTATCTTTTTCATTTATTTTTGCACCATGTGAAAGAAGGAGTTCTGCTATTTCTTTATTATTATTATATTTTTGCGGCATAATGAAGAGCTGTTTGCCCGATTTCATCCTGTTCGTTGACTTTTGCACCATGTGAAAGAAGAAATTCTGCTATTTCTTTATTATTACATTCTGCTGCATAATCAAGAGCTCTTTTTCCATCTTTATCTTTTTCATTTATTTTTGCACCATGTGAAAGAAGGAGTTCTGCTATTTCTTTATTATTATTATATTTTGCGGCATAATGAAGAGCTGTTTGCCCGATTTCATCCTGTTCGTTGACTTTTGCATCATGTGAAAGAAGAAATTCTGCTATTTCTTTATTATTACATTCTGCTGCATAATCAAGAGCTCTTTTCCATCTTTATCTTTTTCATTTATTTTTGCACCGCGTGAAAGAAGGAGTTCTGCTATTTCTTTATTATTATTATATTTTGCGGCATAATGAAGAGCTGTTTGCCCGATTTCATCCTGTTCGTTGACTTTTGCACCATGTGAAAGAAGAAATTCTGCTATTTCTTTATTATTACATTCTGCTGCATAATCAAGAGCTCTTTTTCCATCTTTATCTTTTTCATTTATTTTTGCACCATGTGAAAGAAGGAGTTCTGCTATTTCTTTATTATTATTATATTTTGCGGCATAATGAAGAGCTGTTTGCCCGATTTCATCCTGTTCGTTGACTTTTGCATCATGTGAAAGAAGAAATTCTGCTATTTCTTTATTATTACATTCTGCTGCATAATCAAGAGCTCTTTTTCCATCTTTATCTTTTTCATTTATTTTTGCACCGCGTGAAAGAAGGAGTTCTGCTATTTCTTTATTATTATTATATTTTGCGGCATAATGAAGAGCGGTTTTCCTCTGTTTATCTTTTTCATTGACTTTTGCACGACGTGAAAGAAGGAGTTCTGCTATTTCTTTATTATTATTATATTTTGCGGCATAATGAAGAGCTGTTTGCCCGATTTCATCCTGTTCGTTGACTTTTGCATCATGTGAAAGAAGAAATTCTGCTATTTCTTTATTATTACATTCTGCTGCATAATCAAGAGCTCTTTTTCCATCTTTATCTTTTTCATTTATTTTTGCACCATGTGAAAGAAGGAGTTCTGCTATTTCTTTATTATTATTATATTTTGCGGCATAATGAAGAGCTGTTTGCCCGATTTCATCCTGTTCGTTGACTTTTGCATCATGTGAAAGAAGAAATTCTGCTATTTCTTTATTATTACATTCTGCTGCATAATCAAGAGCTCTTTTTCCATCTTTATCTTTTTCATTTATTTTTGCACCGCGTGAAAGAAGGAGTTCTGCTATTTCTTTATTATTATTATATTTTGCGGCATAATGAAGAGCTGTTTGCCCGATTTCATCCTGTTCGTTGACTTTTGCATCATGTGAAAGAAGAAATTCTGCTATTTCTTTATTATTACATTCTGCTGCATAATCAAGAGCTCTTTTTCCATCTTTATCTTTTTCATTTATTTTTGCACCGCGTGAAAGAAGGAGTTCTGCTATTTCTTTATTATTACATTCTGCTGCATAATCAAGAGCTCTTTTTCCATCTTTATCTTTATCATTGACTTTTGCACCATGTGAAAGAAGGAGTTCTGCTATTTCTTTATTATTATTATATTTTGCGGCATAATGAAGAGCTGTTTGCCCGATTTCATCCTGTTCGTTGACTTTTGCATCATGTGAAAGAAGAAATTCTGCTATTTCTTTATTATTACATTCTGCTGCATAATCAAGAGCTCTTTTTCCATCTTTATCTTTTTCATTTATTTTTGCACCATGTGAAAGAAGGAGTTCTGCTATTTCTTTATTATTATTATATTTTGCGGCATAATGAAGAGCTGTTTGCCCGATTTCATCCTGTTCGTTGACTTTTGCATCATGTGAAAGAAGAAATTCTGCTATTTCTTTATTATTACATTCTGCTGCATAATCAAGAGCTCTTTTTCCATCTTTATCTTTTTCATTTATTTTTGCACCATGTGAAAGAAGGAGTTCTGCTATTTCTTTATTATTATTATATTTTGCGGCATAATGAAGAGCTGTTTGCCCGATTTCATCCTGTTCGTTGACTTTTGCATCATGTGAAAGAAGAAATTCTGCTATTTCTTTATTATTACATTCTGCTGCATAATCAAGAGCTCTTTTTCCATCTTTATCTTTTTCATTTATTTTTGCACCATGTGAAAGAAGGAGTTCTGCTATTTCTTTATTATTATTATATTTTGCGGCATAATGAAGAGCTGTTTGCCCGATTTCATCCTGTTCGTTGACTTTTGCATCATGTGAAAGAAGAAATTCTGCTATTTCTTTATTATTACATTCTGCTGCATAATCAAGAGCTCTTTTTCCATCTTTATCTTTTTCATTTATTTTTGCACCATGTGAAAGAAGGAGTTCTGCTATTTCTTTATTATTATTATATTTTGCGGCATAATGAAGAGCTGTTTGCCCGATTTCATCCTGTTCGTTGACTTTTGCATCATGTGAAAGAAGAAATTCTGCTATTTCTTTATTATTACATTCTGCTGCATAATCAAGAGCTCTTTTTCCATCTTTATCTTTTTCATTTATTTTTGCACCATGTGAAAGAAGGAGTTCTGCTATTTCTTTATTATTATTATATTTTGCGGCATAATGAAGAGCTGTTTGCCCGATTTCATCCTGTTCGTTGACTTTTGCACCATGTGAAAGAAGGAGTTCTGCTATTTCTTTATTATTATTATATTTTGCGGCATAATGAAGAGCTGTTTGCCCGATTTCATCCTGTTCGTTGACTTTTGCACCATGTGAAAGAAGAAATTCTGCTATTTCTTTATTATTGCATTCTACTGCATAATCAAGAGCTCTTTTTCCATATTTATCTTTATCATTGACTTTTGCACCATGCGAAATGAAATATTCGCAAAGAGAAGTTATACCAAACATTGCCGAATTAACAAAACATTGATTAATATCATTCGTTTGATCGAAACAAACTAAAAATGATTCAAGATTTCTATATTTCCCGCATGTAGATAATTCATTGTTGATCTTGATATTGTACTCATTCATCAAAAATGTTACAAAATCAATGTTGTGTGAAATAATTGCATATTTCATGCATTCTTTTTTTTAGTTTTCGATATTTCAAACATTCACTCATGATCTCTTGATTTCTTCCTAAAAATGAAAATCTCAGACATTGTTGGGTTATATCCGAGTGAAATTTCGTTCTTAATAACTTGAAACAATCAGCTGCTCCATAGTAGCAACATAATTCGAGTAATGAATAACCAATGCAAAATTTACGGTCAATCTTTGGAAATAAATTGCTACGTCGTTTTTGATCTTTGTCAAATTCATCGCTTTCAATGAATTGTATAAATTTTTCTTTGTTATTATCCATAATTATCCGGTAAATTGTATTTTCTGAAAAAATATCGAGATCATCATATTCAAATTCTTTGAAATTTTTAGACTTGTCTAATATAATTCCATATTCTTTATAAAACATGAAGTTTGATATTGGCAGTATGTTGTTGACCTGTTTTACATTATAATCATCAGATATACGTTTAGCAAAGGATAAATATGACTTTGTATATCGATTATTATACGGAATAATATCTAAAATATCTCTTATAGCATTTTTTGGGAGATATTTATTTGTATCGATCAATGTTGCTCTGATCATTTTGTAAATTGAGTTTAATTCTTCTTCATTTTCCGTTTTTAGCTGATACAATGCAATATATAAATCTATGTAGTCTTTATGAGCACTTCGTAATTCACCATATTTATTTGATTGAATGCCTTGATCAGACATTAAAGTTCTTTTCTTTCAAAAAAAAAATTGAAAAATCCAAAACTCGAAATTAGGATGATATTTGGGGATTTTTTTCGAATTTGGATGATCCAAAAAGATCATCCAAATTAGCAACCCTAATGAGAGAATCAAAGCTAGTCTTTGGAATATGAAAAGTCATATATAAAAAGTTACGCTGATGGTTTTCTAACTTCAATTCAACAATCAATATTTATGATGGGGTCTGTTGAAAAATTTGTGGGAGTACTTTTTTTTTTAAAATGCTTTCTCAGTTTTCATCACCTTTTCATTCATGGGATACACCACTAGACTCACCATCTAGAATGGACATTCCTGTGAGCCCACGCTCCAATCCTCCTCCACTAACATCTAGCAGTATTAAAGCGATAAAAGAACTCAGCCAAGACCATTTTCAAATAAATTCAATTAAATCATATCAAATACGATCTGGCCTAACGCATTATATTTCACCACCAGAACAATCTCCGCCAGATAATAATTTTTTGGAATTAAAATTATGTTTGGCAACGAGAAGTTTTGTAGATCAATCATCAAATCAAGCAAATTCACTTCAATACTCAATAAGACTCATTTGTTCTTATCTTCGTTTTCGTAATTATGAAGCTGCAATCGATGCTTCTCAAACTGCTTTAAATAAAGTTACGGACAGCGGACTGATACCTTTCCTCGGACTTTTAGCAGCAATATGTAATAGATCTGAAGCCGAAGAAATGATATTTTTCGAAGCAGCAGAAAAAAGTTTTTATTTAGATGATGATTTACCACAATTCTATCGTCTTATTGATGAGTTACTAGTACTAAGATCCCTTCCTGAATCCGAAATCAAAGATTACCATTCTCCACTGATAAATTTGATTTTACCTGATAATCGAGATCTCATCAAAGCTCTTAAAGAAAAGGTCCACATATTCCCACGTATCGGATCTGACCTACAAAAGCTTTTAATTAAGTACAGAAGACATAAAAGTCAAACTCATCCACAATCTCTTGTTGAAATGCTTCAGATTGTTGACCAAGCTAAAGAAAACTTACCACAATTGCTTCCTGTATGCGAAGGTCTTTCAAGTATCGAAAATAGTCAATCTAATACCTCCAAAAAGCCAAAAGCAAGGGCCAAATCCAAGGTTAAACAGACTCTGAAGATGAAACAAGCAAATGGAAACCCAACAGATAAGGTTTTGATGCTAATTCAAAATCGAGAATGGAAAGCTGCAGCCGCAGCAGCTACAGAGTACTTAGAACAGAACCCTGATGATGCTGATATGCTCCAACATAGAGCTTTCGCCTTAATGAACCTTTACAAGAATCATGATGCAATTATTGATATTTCAAAGGCAATTTCTATAAAGAAAACAGATAGAAGATTAAGGATGAGGGCTGCCCTATGGATAACCTTAGGAGAAAGAGATCTATGTGATGCAGATTTAGCTGCTGTCGAAGTCAAGGATCCAAATGATACAAAAATTGAATCTGTTTGAATAAATATATTTGTAGTATACCTGTTTGTATTAAATCGTGAATCTGTTTTTCATTTTTCTACATTTAAATAATTTTTTAAATAAACAATATTTATTAACTGTTTTGTCTCTTTGCAAATCCCTTTTAATATGGCATCGTCATATTTTATGGTTCAAATTCTTCAATTACCTGAATATTATTGTCCATATTTCGATTTAACGTGTTATTCATGAGGAAATTTATGAAATTATCATCATAAAATACAAACAATTCTCTTCTAAATTATCACTAATACTTAAATTAATCTTCTGTAGAGATATCTTTTCAAATTGCAATTATTTGCCCATTATTTTCAAAAGGTTTGCTATTCTATTAATGAAATTCAAAAGATTACACATTGCGATACATAAAAATATGACATTTTTGTTTTATTCAGATATTCTCAGATTTCAAGGAATACCTAGCTCCAAAATGTTCTATTTTAAAAAAGGGTGCTTACAATTGCAAATAATAGTTTACTTAGTTATCCAAGCAATCGTAATAAATTTGTATAATGAAGGGGAGTTTTTTTTTCCAGATTCAAATAAGAAATGTCACTTTTTGTATAATAAAATGTTTTTGTGCCTTTTTGAGCGCATCGGTAGCATTAAATATGATAATGGAATATTCCAAAAGGTGTACGGTGATGGAAATATCATTGTCACAGCATCAGGATCATCAAAACAGCATATAAATGGAACAAAACAAATGACAAAACCAGAATACGCAATTTATCCATGGGAAAAGAAATATGACTGGTGCTCAAAGGTAAGCCATACATATGACGACCATCCATTCATTATTTTTTCAATTAAATCTAAGAAATTCAAATTTAATGGCTACTTTATTAGATGTGGCTGCTGCTATAACGGATGCTGCTGTGATGATGATTATAACAACTACTGCTTTGATTGCTGCCTCTACAGCTGGTCCCTTCAAATTTCGGAAGACAATGAAACATGGCAGACAGTTCATTCAATTGAAAAAGATGATTCAATGAGAATCTGCAACGAAAAACAATATCATTTTGATAAGGAATACACAGCATCTTATGTTCGTCTAATTCAAGACAACGCTTGCCCTGGATACCCTCCATGCATTGCAATCAACAAGTTTGATTTGTTTGGAAGTGTTGTTGGCGCTAATAACGAACCAGAAGAAGAATTTGTTTCATTCCATGATGATGACGAAGACGTTAGCATAATTGGTCACATATCTAAGAACGCAAAGTTATAAATTCAATTTCGTAGTACTTATCACTATTAATTTCAATTTAATTTATATTTTTCGTATTTTTATTTAAAAAAATTTAAAGATTTTATTTTTATAATATGATTTAAGTATTAATTAAAAAGTTAAAAGCTCGAAGACCTAAAAAAGAGATTGAATTAATGTAAATTATTCAAAAGGATTGTCTCATGAAACATTCAGTGAAAGAATGAGATATTCTATGTTTGTGTATATTATAACTCACACGTGTCTCATAAATAAAGTTTAATATGAAAAAAAAATAGTGAAATTGTTTTATTAAAACAATAAGTTTCAAATGAATTTGTTGATGATAGAGTTCCAATCAACTCTATTGTCTTGCTTCATAAGGAATGAAAGTGCTTTCTTGATAATGAGTGAGAATTCGGATAGATGATCTTTGAATACCTTTCGGATGAATGCGATTGCTGCAACTGTTGATGCAACTTTGTGGCCATATTTAGTTTCAATTATTTCATCAACACCATTGAAATCATCCCAAGAACCATCAACCTTTTGCTTACGAATCTGTTCTTCTGGTGAATTTGATGGTCGGCTTGAATATCTCGCGATCATTACATCACTATCATCCATAGCATGTTGCTTCATCATTTGACGAGCTGCGTATTGAGGAGGTGCTGGAGCTGTATATTGAGACACTCCAGACATCATTTGTTGCATCATTTGATTAGCGTCGTATTGAGGAGGTGCTGGAGTTGTGTATTGAGAAGCTCCAGACATCATTTGTTGCATCATTTGATTAGCTAAATGAGGAGGTACCATAGCAGCACCGCATGGAGGAGGTGGAGGAGGAGCTCCAAATCCCATACCACCGCCAGGTTGAGACATACCACGCATCATTGGCTTAGCATTGAATTGTTTAGGAGGTGCAGCATAGCAGCCCTGCGGTGCTATACCTCTGAAGCATCTCTTAGGTGGAGCCATTGCACAGCATTGGATCAATGGAGGAGCAGGTTGTCCTCTTTCTTCATGAGATTCATAGTCAACACCAACGTATGATGTGTATTTGCAAAGAACACCAGATGCAAGAGATAAGTCAATGCATTTCTTCTTGATGCTTTCATCATTTTTAAGAAGAAGTTGTGATTTGTAGTCTTCAATAATGTAGCGACTGAATAGTTGGCGAAGACCTTTGTTGTCATCAAGACGAGAAACAGGAATAACGATGTCAACTTGATCGTGAAGAAGAGCTCTGTGGGTTCTCATTCATATTATCGTTATCGCCAATGATAGCATAATTGCCGCCACTCTTTCTCGCCATGCCTTTGATCAATCCTGGATCAGCACCAGAACCAAGACCAATTGAGAAAATGCGGTTTGTTGACCTGTTCTTCTGTGCTGTTGCGCAGATAATGTCGGAATTGTCGACTTCGCCATCTGTCAAGAAGAAGATCTGTTTAACAAATCCTTCAGATGCTTGAAGGTCAGAAACATGTTGAAGAGGTGCTAAGATATTTGTACCACCCATGTTAGCACTGATGTTATCAAGAAGATTCATGGCATTAGCAACATTCTCATCAGTGTAATCGCATGGAGGAAGAACTGTTTCGAAATGAGATCCGAATTCGAGAATTGAAAATCTGCAACCAACTGGAAGAGATTGAATGAATAAGCGCATACATTTAATAGCATTATTAATGCATCGGCCAGACATTGAACCAGAGCAATCAAAAATGAAGTAGAATTCAGAATTCGAATCAATTGGACCTTCGAAGAATGAATATGTAGTGATAGCAATGTAGCCATCACTTTAAATGGCAATATTCTTATCTTCGTCTTTGATATGGGTCTCAATAACAATTGCGTCTTTTGCTGGTGGATTATTTGTGACAAATGTGGCGTTGTGAGCATCTTTGACGTCTTTGGTGCCATCAACAGATACTTTAAGGTCTTGTATATCTCTCTGTGTTTTGATTGTAGTTGCGAAATGGAATGATTCTGGATTGTCTGAGTAGTCGCTGGTAACTGCGCCATTCTGGTACCTGTGTGTTAGTGGGAACTTGTAGTAGTAGCCGTTCTCGTTGATGTCGGCAAAGAATGAGACTTTAAGGTGAATTTCGGCTGTTTTGCCAGCAGGAAGATTGCCGAGATGGAAACTGCTAAGACCATTGCCAATGTCTTCACCAAGCATAGCATGATGGCCGGCGTTCTTTGCTTCTTCGAATTCTTTCTTAGCCTCTTCTTTTACACGAAGTTGAGGCCGAATCTCCTTACCATCAACAATGAAAAGAGAATCATATGTGCAGAATTGTGGTTCGTTTGGGAAACAGTATGTGATGTCAGTGTTTTGACCTGTAGTATTCGTGAAAACTTGTTTAATTGTATAAGAAAGGAATGTATCTTGCTGGATACCATCAATACTTACTGATGAGTATGTTAGTTTTGATTCTTTCTGGGAGAACTATTCTTCCAATCATTTGACAAAAATGAATTCACTTAAATTTTTTATCGTAAATTTATTCAAAATTTTTCTTTATATTTTACCATCAATCTTGATTAAAAAATTTTAAGCTATGCTGCAAGGGTATAGACAATTTTAACATATTTTTCCGGACTTTTCAGAGAATTGAGCGCAGGCTCAATTCTCTGAAACAGTCCGAAGAAATATGAAAGTCTGTCATAGCTTTCAATGATTAGCTCGATTTTAACGGAACCTTAAAATCGAGCATTGAAAAGTCTAGACAGACTTTTTTTTGAAACTCAATTTTTCATTCAAAAATTTTTGATCAATTTTTTTCAAAGAAATGGTAAATTGTGATTGCCAGAAGACATTTTTTATTCAATCTCCATTCAAAGCATATTTCTAAAACATGTTTACAAGACATATTTGCTCTTAGTTAACTCATATTAAAATAGACTTATTCATAAAGGCGACGGAATTTATGAATAGGGTACCCTATTTATGAACGGTTAGAATTTGGAAAAACCGTCGCAAGTATGAAAACCCTAGATATGGAAAAACCGTCAAAAGTATGAACAGGTAGGTGATCGGAATCTTCATATTTTTTATTTGGAATTTCCAAACAAAAGTTGTTTCGAAATTCCAATCAATTTGGAATTTATAAATTCCAATGTTTATTCATAAATAAGTTGACAAGTGTGGATAACCCTTTATTTGTCAAATGGAAAAAGAAATTAGAAATTAAGTGGTTTTAAAGTATATTAGACACATGTATTGGTATTACTATTTTTGAATATTTTGAGAGAAAATCCCTAAAAAGCGAGAAAATCTAAGACGGTTTGAGAAAATATATAAACTATTGAAAATTTGAATTAAACTTCTAATTTGGAAAAAAGAAATTTGGAAAGAAGAAAATTCAAAAATCGAGATTTAGACTCAGCATCAAATGGAGAACAAAATGTTTCTTCATATGAAGGAAAAAAATTTTCTTGTGAAGAAATAGAGTTTTTAAAATTTTATTGTATGTAATGAAATAAACAAATATTAAAATTATTTTTTGATAACAAGAAAATTCCCAATAGAAAATATTTGAGAGAAAGAAAAAAAGAAAATTGAAAAATATTACTCTCCTTTATATTTCATGAGATTTTAAATTTATTCTCATAAAATTGACAATTTTATACGTTTAGATGAAAATAAGTGATTTTGGTTGAAATAGAAATTATTATTTGCTTACAGCTATCAAATAGATTTTTGCTATTTTGATTAAAATTTGTTAATCAAATTAATAAATTTTTTCTAAATATCTTAAATATCTGGATCACTCACATATACAATGAATTGAACGATAAAAATAATACAAACTCAACTAAGTTTCCTGTCTTTCAACTAAAAAAAATTATGCAAATTAAATTAAATTGTTTATTCAAATATAAAACAAAGATGAAGTAATTACAGTTATCATAAACTTTATGAATAACTCTGTAATTGGTTCAGATTTTCGTAAAAATATTTTTATTAATATCGATAAGAATACGTTTACCTACTATCACAACATATCGATAAACAAGAGTAGAGTGATTTTTATCATCAAAACTTTTTAAAAACTGTAAGCTGGAAGGAAAAATCTTGTTTTTTCTGAGTTAGTTGTAGAACTATTGATGCACGAGTTATCATTGTGATGTAGAAGGATGTCAATGTACTGACTGAAGGATATGAAGTGAATTGAATTTCATTGCATTTCAATTTGATCAAAATTTGTTGAAATGATATGAATGTGTCAACATCTGTATCACTCTCTTTCACTCCTTCCCTATTCTTTCGAGAACGAAGCTAGCTCAGCTTTCGCTGAGCGAATTGACACTTTTGATGCCCTAAACGTACATGCTCTCAAATTTATCGAAAAAATTATACCACCTAAACTAGTATATTCGTATTTTAAATATGATATTATCCTTAGAATCCACACTAGAATATATTTAAATCAACTTTTTAAAAAGTTCGAATCCTGCGCGTCTCACTTTTTAAATTTTCGAAAAGGAAAATTATATTCTCCTAAAATGAAAACAATTTTCCGAATTGACATCCTTACTTAATTAGCACATATATACGTCATATTCAATTTGCTCATTATGAATTTATTATCATGAACTTAATTTATAAAAAAATAAACGATCACAAAAGGAGTCAAATGTTGCCCTCAGCGAGGAAAGATGGAAAAAAGCGGCAGCAGGATACCCTTTGCAAACTCCTTGCCGAAACTAAATACCAAGTCTTCAACATCACAAATGCGGCAAATACCTTTTATGATACAGGTATCAGAGTATTATTTCTTCTACTGGTTGATTTTGATTTTCAGGATATCTTAAGATTCTTCCATGATTTGGAAACAAGTTAATGAATCTTTTGACATGATTGAAAGACAATGAAAGGTAGTGCAAACTTAATGATTGTTTCTTTATGCATAACGCTTCGGATGAACTCTCATATGCATATCGCTTCGGTAGAAGTTTAGTCAGATGAACGATCCACATACACATACATTATATATACACCTGACTTAATATCTCATATTTTCAAATTGTCTTTCAATCATGTCAAAAGATTCATTAATTTTTGTTACAAATTAAAATTTACGACTTTTCTAACAATTTTTAAATGACTAAACAAGTCACTCATCTAATTGTCTTTCATTCATGTCAAGTCGTAAATTTTAATTTGTAACAAAATATTAGGTTTGCACTACCTTTCATTATATAAATTTTCAATAAGGAATTATCTAATTCATGTGACATTATATATACACCTGACTTAATATTTTGTTACAAATTAAAATTTACGACTTTTCTAACAATTTTTAAATGACTAAACAAGTCACTCATCTAAATAGATACAGCGAATTTAGAAGTGATTATAATTACCATATAGAGATATACAATGCGTTATATCAGTTAAAAACGGTAAGCGAAGAAGAATTAAACTCAATTTACAAAAAGATCAAAAACAAACTGATTGATTCAAAGAAATATTTCCCCAAATGTATAATAAGAGACATTTTACAGATAATTCCTTATAATAACCGCTACACAAAGTCATATTTGAAACTTGCGAAACTCATATCAGATGATTATCAAGTAATAGAAGTCAATAATATCCCAACTATTTCTAACTACCTGTTTTACAAAGAATACGGAATTAAACTGGATAAATCTAGCGATTTCGGAAAAATGACTCAAGATGATCTAGATATTCATGCAAAGTTTCCACTTTTCAAGTCTATTATGGATAATGACTTAGGGGTATTCATATCATTCACAGAAAGAGAAGGATTTGATGAAAACAAAAAACTTGTAAGCAATTTATATCCAGATTCTGGTAAAGGATATTCATTACTTGAATTATGCTGTTATCATGGAGCAGTTGATTGTTTCAAGTTCTTAAGAACGAAATATGACTCAGAAATAACTCAAACGTGTTTACAATTGTCATTTTAGGAAGAAATCAAGAGATCTTGATTGAATGTTTGAAATATCAAAAACCAGATAAAAAATGCATGAAATATGCAATTATTTCACATAATATTGATTTTGTCACATTTTTGAAGAATGAACACTATATAATGATCAAATTAGAACACTATGCAGAATATAATAATCTTGAATCATTTTTAGTTTATTTTGATAAAGCAACAAATTTGAACGAGTGCCTTGTGTATTCATTAAGGTTTTATATTCCATCTCTTCCAATCATGATCATTTCTTTTGGTGCATATATTAATGCAGAAGTTAATTCTCAAGGAACGGCTCTCATAAATGCATGTAATAATAATGATACGGAGATGGCTGAAATTATTCTTTCAGCTGGAGCAAATCCTAATAAAAGAGCACCCAATAGTTATAGTTCTATTTGCTGGGGAGGAACAGCTCTTCATTTGGCAGCAGCAAATAATAATAAAGAAATTGTAGAACTTCTTCTTTCACATGGAGCAGATGTCAATGCAGAAGATACGAGGAAATGGACAGCTCTTCATTATGCAGCAATTAATTCTAAAGAAATAGTTGAACTTCTTCTATCACACGGTTTAAAAATTGATGTACAAGATGAAAACGGTGAAACAGCTCTTCATCAGGCTGCATATAATAATAGTAAAGAAATTGCCCAAGTTCTCCTTTTTCATGGTGCAAATATCCATGAAAAAGATCAAGAAGGAAGAACACCCCTTCATCACACAGCCTTTAATAATAGTAAAGAAACTGCCACAGTTCTCCTTCTACATGGTGCAAATATCAATGAAATAGATAAAATGGGAAGAACAGCTCTTTATATTGCGAAATATTATAATCGAAAAGAAATTGTAGAACTTTTCCTTTCACATAGTGCTAATCTCAAATAACTATAGTAAATGAACTGAATATAGCATTCATTTGAGATTGGGGACTAGATCACTGTACATGGACTTGATTCATATCCATGTATACGTGAAAAGACAGAGTCAGATAAATGCTATGTTTACAATTATTAATAAAAATATCAATTTTTTCATAGGGAAAAATATTCTTCGAACTCATTATTAATTTTTTTTTGAAAGGATTTTTCTCAAAGTAGAGGAGAGGAGTAGGATAAGGAGATTTAACATATAAAATGAGTTTCTTAGATATGCAAATAATTATTTTTATTGTTGTCAAAAAATTGCGCTCCACGCCGATAATTTATATAAAAATTTCAAAATGTATACGTTTAAAATGAATCATGAGAAACTCAGCTCACCTACAGAAAGGAAACTTATATTTGATGATGATGCCGAAGACAATGACCAAGTGAAGCAGTTTAAAGAAGAATATCAAAAACTTGAAGCATCTATTAAAGAAAAATCACGCAAAAAATCTCGATTGAATGCAGCTGTACGTGATCTTAATTCCAAACTAGAAAGTATGAAAAAGGCTAACAAAATACAGAAAATTCAGCAAAACGAAATAGAAAAATCATTACGTATAAGAAGAAAGAAATTCGAAGAAAACAATTCCTCTTATGAAAAAGCAAAAGATCAATACATAGCAAGCTCGAAAAAGGCTGAACGTGTGAAAACTATTATAGAAAAGATTAAGACAGAATTGCAAAAAGCAAAGATTTTAATTGAGAGTGAAGAATCGAAACTCAGAGAGATAAGGCCATGTGTTGTTGATTATGGTCTACTACAGACTAATATTCAACTTATGAAACAGCGGATAGATAACAAAAGAGAAATTCTTAAACAAAGAAACATAGATTTTTCTGAAGCACAACAAAAAATGCAGCAATTAGTATCAGATGAGCAAAAATACATTAATTCTAAGAATACACTCGAAGAAAATTTAGATGATTTAGATGCAAGAAGGCACCAAACCCAGCAAATCTTAACTGATCCTATTGACAATCTTGATTATGAAGAGTCTATTGTTGCAGATGCCGAAAGAGATGCAAATGAAACCGAACAAAGACATAACCAAATTCAATCTGACGATGGACAACAAATTATTGATAAGATTCTTGAAGAAATTGTTGCTTTAGAAAAAGATAATAGTGTTCGCCGAGAAGGGCTTGAATCAAAGCAAAAACAACTTGATGCATTTAAAGAAAGTTATGCAAAAAATCCTATTGTCAGTCCAATGCCATCTAAATCACCAGAAATCAAATATAAGTCCCAGCCATTATCTATTGCCGAAGCTCAGGAGCAAGTTGAGAAATTAAGTGCTCAATTGGAAGCAAAACTTCAATCTGTTGAAGATGAAGAAAGGGCTATTGATGACCTTGTGAAAAACAACATTCTAAAGAGAAAAGAAATCGATGAAAAGTACAAGGCAAAACTAGAAAAGCTCAATCAACTCCAAACACTCAAAAATACTACAGAAGCTTTGATATTTTCAGTATCAGAGTTGATGGCTAAAAATGATCATTTGGTGGAGATTTCTGATAGAAATCAAAAATCAATAGATGAAATCAATCACAGGAATGCAAATGCAGAACGTGATAGGAACACAAACAATAAATTCTCACTTGAATTGCAGAAACTTCGTCAAGGACTCAAAGATAAAGAAGAAGAAAGAAGAGCAATGGACGAAATGCTCGCCGAACTTAAGAAGCAAATTGAACAGAGTGAAAAAGATTACACTCAATTGGAAGCTTCATTGAAGATGAAAGAAGAAGAGGCTGCTAAGATCGAAGAAAATATGAAAGAAATTACAAGTAAACTCGAAAATGCAAATCAACGAGCCGCCGAACAAAAGAAACTTCTTGATGAATTCATTGAAGCACATCCATATATTAATAGGGATCCAAATGACATGATCGGTCAACTTGCACAGCTTGTTTCGGCAGCTTAAATATACACTATTATTTATCTTTATTATGTTAAATTACTTTTGTGTTATTAACTTACATTCTTTTTTATTTCTTCATAAATTAATTAAGAATTATGAAACCATGAAGCTTACTTTAACATTAGCATATAGATGCAATTTCAATTTACAAGAAAATGTTGTTCCCATAAGAAAAATTCATTTATTTAAAAGGACTAAGAAATTGTGAACTTAAGGAGATATATTTTAAAAGAAATACTGATTTTTAAAAAATCAAAATGGAATAATAACAACAGACATTAAAAATTTATTACATTTGAGCAGAATCAATAATAATTTTGGATAAAATATCATCAACTTGAGTTTCTAATTCTTGATATCTTTTTTCAGAAATTGGAACTGGTGCAAGTTCATACGGTTGCTTAGGAGCTTGGAAACTGACAGTTGTTCCACCTGTCCTAGCGTTTGTAACTAAAGCACCAACAGATCTTTCTGAAATATTTGTTGTAGTTGAAGGGAAATCAGATATTGAATTTGATTTAGGAGTAGAAAAGCTATCAAGAGAATTCGGTTGTCCAGATGCTGAAGTATTAACATCAATGGTACATCTGAATTTTGTATTATAAGTGCAATTTGAAAGTAATATCTCGACATTTTGTACTTTTTCGTGAAATACTGTAGTGCAGTCGATTTCCGCAATTCCATATCGCGTAAAATCTTTGCCACTTGCATCTTCGAACCTGAAAGAAAGTCTAAGAGGATGTGGATGCTTATCGGTGGCAACAGCAGCAATCATACACTTAATCTCTGCAGGTTCTGTCCAATTTGCAGTATTGTTCGTAATATTGACACTCTTAGAAGTGTATTCGCTGCGATCTTGTTTAATTTTAACGAATATTGGGGTTCCATGTGGTGGAATATCTATGAGGGACATATTCTTCAGTGTCACATATACTTTCTTTAAGTTTTTATTGCGAGAAAACATATTTTATAAAACAAATAAAAGTGACGATGCAAAAATAATGTATTTTGCCGCTGTCAAGCGATTAATTTGTTCAGCAAGTAGTGGATGTATGAACTTATATTAGGATGTAGTTAGCTCCTGCTCACGACATTCGTATTAAAGCCATTTGTTAATCAAATATTTTGAAATTATTTTTGATATGAGCATAAGTTTATACGAGTAATGCACTTTATTCTGTAATACAAACGGATTTGCAATATAAATAAATTCAAAACAAGAAAATAAAAATAATAAAAACAAAAATAATGATTAAAAACCATAAATTAATCAGTTTCCATGAATGCAATGTTACCTGTATCTGTTAATATGCTAGATGTAACTTCGCCAACACTGATATCATTCAAAGCACTTTGTAACTTAGAATCTATTTCAGAATCATCATCATCGGAGATTCCTTCAATTAATCTGTTAATAGCACTTGTATCAATGCTCGAAGCATCGTTTCCAAGTGAAGATGATGCATTTGATGGAGAAGAAACGTTAGATGGTGAATAAGTACTAGATACACTTGGCAATTCTCCATCATCGCTATCAGATTGTAGCATTGAAGTGAGATCCAATGCAGAAAATTCTTCAACGTCGCTTGGCAATGCAAATATTGGACCAAGAGGTGGTAATTCAATTCCTTTCTTTTGTGGTTTGGCAGGTTGTGGCTTCGGTTGTTGATTTTGTGGTTGCTTTGGTTGTTGAATTTGATCAAATTCATTGACAACAAGAGGAGGCTCTGGAGTTAGTTGTGTAATGAGATTTTGCATGCTTGTATTTGTTTGCCGTTGTCTCAAATCGGATTTTTGAGGATTTGGCTTTACATCATATGTTTCTCTTACAATTGTTTCAAGTTGAAGATTTTGCTTTTGTGGTTTAGGAGCTGGCGATAATGGTTTTTGCATATCACTATTAGAATCCTCTATTCTTAGGGATGGAGGATATTCAAATTCTGGTCTTTCAACAGAATCTGGGTTTCCAATACGAATTGGGGCCTTTTCTGGAACTGGATTAGAAACTGATGGTCCTGGAGTAATGTAAAGAGGTGTTTCTGGTTTAGAAGGTGGCTGAACAGGATCAATTGTTGGACCTGGTTTACTAACGAGAGTTCTGAGTGATATCCTTCCTTGTGTTTGCGTTCCATTATCAACTGTTTCAAGAGAATCACATTGAACTGTAACTGTGGCAAGTTGCCTTTCTTTTGTAATTGATTGTGAAGGAATATCTGCTTTTGGAGTAGATGATGGTGTTGATGGCTTCTGTCTCTGACTATTATCAATATCAGGTGCATCTCTGAGAATTTGGTTGACAAACTGCAAAAGTAGATCTCCTAAAGCTTCTTCAGAAGGAACTGATGATGCTGTTAGTGGAGCATCATTGATTATGCTTTGAATAAGCTCCATGCATCGAGCTTCGTATTGTGGAAGAAGCGCTTCTGTATTTGTAGCTTCATTTCGTTTTCGAGTTTCTTTTGTGTTAGTTGCTTGAGTATTATAAGTAATAACAGGTTTAGTATTCTGAGCTTCGAAAATTTGGATTGGAAAGTTGTATGTTGTCGTTAACTGGTTTCTATAACTTTGAGTATCGCGATCACAAAGAGTGACTGGTGGTTTTTGCGGTATTTTAGGCTTTTCTTCTTCTGGTTCTTTGGATTTCTTCTTTTCTGCTTCATCTTGTGAAGGCTTAGAGATTTTTGAAAAGATATATTGGTTAGAAAATGAAAGTGTTCTTTGTCTGACAGGATAATTATCTTCTGAAGGCTCTTCGTATAATTCTGATTCGTCTATTTTGTATTTTTGATTAATTCGTTCAAGCTGATCTTGGGGAATATCTAATCTTTGAGGTAGAAATTGACTGAGAAAGTCATTACCACTATCGATAGCTATCTCACGCCGCACTTTTAGATCATTAAGAGATGATACAAGATCTTGTATAATAGGTTTATAATTCTTACTCATTTTGTATGATTTTTTGCACGTTTAGAAATTTTGAATACTCTGAAAATCAAAATCAATCATTTATTTTAACACGGTAAATATGTTTTCAGTATCACTTGTATTTCACAGTAAAATTTATGATTTATATCAAGAATTGATTCAATTCGTAGATTTATGAGGTCTTTTTACTTTGGAAAACATTGCCTTTTTCAAGAATATTAAAATGTGAAGTTATCAAACTATTTAGTATCTTGTTTCATTGGTCGCATTCAAAATTTTAGATGACAGCATTCCAGAAGATGAAAGACGGATTAGAGTTCCTTAAGCATGCAGGAACACAAGAAGTATTTCAAGTAATGAATAACTTTCCTCAGTACCCATTTTTCTTTTTAATTGAGGTACTTTGGAGCTGCCACGGAGTTAAAAAATCAATATCCACCAAGAAATCAGAGAATGATAGCATGCTTAATAGAATTTTACAGCTCATACTATGCTTTTTAGTTTCTTTAGTTATGACTTTTGCAGGACGCGAGCTTTCAGCACAAGTTTTCCATAAGACCTCACCAATATCATCAAAACCAATCCTAATCCCAATTTTTTGCGGCGTTTACGCGTTAATGTTTTTGACACCTTACGATATCTTCTTCAAAATTTCAAGCTTATTGTATTACTTCACAGCCTTATTCCAAGGCATTAATGAAATGAGAATATTTTTAAGAATTATCGAGTGGTCAAAAAAGAAAGATTTTATATACACAAATACTTCATTTGGTCTCTACTTTGGCATTTTAATTGTAGAGTTCAAGTATATTGTAGAATTATGCATGAGAAAGTTTTATCATGGAAAAAGAACAAGCATTACAACATTCTGGCAGATAACAAAGAATGCTCTGATTGTATTTACTTATTATATTGCAATCAATTACGGAGAAATCTCGAAAGAAAACAGAAATCTTAAAATACCAGAAATTCTTATGGGTTTAGCAATGGGAATTCTCAACGCTTCTGCTATTCTTAGTGATTAAATGTATTTTTATGCTTTTTTTATAAATAATTTTTAAAATATTTGTACAATAATTAAAAGTTTAAATTAAACTTTGAGTATAAATCAATATATTAAACAGTCACGAGTTGGTTTATTGCAGCAACCTTATTGCAATTACTCAAAATCAAGTGATTCAATAAGGATACTTCCTTTTGAATTTGTAAAATGAAGAACCAATTCATCATCTGAGTAGCGATCTAAGAATTTACCATCTTTATCAACTGGAGCATTAGTTTTTTTCATTGTTTTTTGATTTAGATGATAGGCATCAAAACTATCAAAGTTTCCTTTGACATTACCTTTTCCAATACTTGGAACATCCAAAAATTTAATATGAACGTTTATATCTGAATATGGGAAAAATAATATTGAATTACCAGCTGGTGGCTGCATTTGTGATTCAGATCCCTTCTTCTCTATCTTTGTTATTAAGAATTTAATATTCTTTCCTAAAAATGGAATCGAATTTTTAAGATTTGAATTTATTTTGGCAATAGTTGCTTCATCTTTGTTGTTTAATGCAGACTTAATGTCATTAATAGTTTTTGATAATTCTGATTCACCTTGTGGTTCACTATTTTTAAATATTGAAAAAGTAATCAGGAATGAAAGCATTTGAATGCTCGTTTATTTTTTTTTATCCACAAATCTTCAGATTTTAAAATTAATTGAATCATTCAAATATGACACACATGAACTATTTATTTTCAGTTTTATTATCAAATTTCATTATTGATTTATGTAATTTTAATTCGAATTCATTATTTCAGATGTTCATTCTCAGGCATTAGGCACTGTTATCTTTACTTTATATAATAATCATATTGTCAACACTAGATATTGTCTGTTTGTAACTTCTGCAGTTAAACTCGCTTAAAAAGTGACAAATTAAGGGTCCACTGTAAAAATTGAAAGTCTCTCAAAATTGAGAGGCGATTTGCAAATAATCGTTATCGTCATTTTTCGAAAATACACTTTTCCTAGTGTTCTGATTAATATTATGTGAATACAACAATGAAACATATGTTTCAATAAGATGGTAATATATTCTATCACTTCAAATCTCATAAAAATTGCAAAATCAGTGAGTTTTATAAGAACATGATTTTTTCGAATTTTTTCGCTTTTGGATGCGTGTTTTGAAAAATAGATATTTTCGAATTTTAATTTTATCTTAAGTATAAGTTTTATATTAGGAATTTTTTTGACCTATTTCCAATCATTAATTCCAATGTTTTTCAAGGAATTTAATTGAGAAGAAATTAGGAATTTCGCTTTAATGCCATTACAAACTAATATTATGATGCATAATATATATATTTATTGAGGCTAATGCCAGGATATCTTGCATTTAAAAAAAATTCAAAGAATTGACAATTGGATAGCATAAATTTAATTCCCTGGACAAAGTATTATTGTTTATATATTCAAACCATTATCCTTAGTTTAGATATGTTGGCCAAAAATTTTCGTGTTATTTTTTGTGTTTAAGCATAAATTATGTATTTACTTATGAAAAATAAGCATTTTATTCATTATCATAAAGATATACCATAACAATTGATAAATTTTTTTTAAAAAAATTGTGTATTTTAGTGGGTATTATTCTGGATAATGCCAATTTTTACAAGATTTAATATTAACCATATCAATAGTCGACTCAATGTAAAAATTTAGATATTATTTTTTCATTAATCAAACTTTGATAAATTTTAGTATAATGAATGATTTTGTTTCGTGTATGATACAGAAATGAAAAGCTTAATTAATATCATTTTGCATTTTTTAAAGGATGTTAGAGTACATCTACATTAAAAAATCAGATTTGAACTGCGATACTGCATCAAATTGATGCATATCTGATAAGGATCTCAAAAGAGTAAAGTTAATTTTTTTGTGTTTTTTTAAGTTTTGGGCCTTAGTAAAACACCATCTCGAGCAATATTTTTGGGATGACGATAGACCTTATTTGGCCTTACAGTGAACCCTTAACGGATTTTTAGGGAAAAATTCTTCAAAAAAATGAGCTCAAGCTATGAAGAAGAGGATTTTAGTGGTGAAGTATTGGATGTAGACCAGTATCTTGACCAACTTCCTGATCATGAGAATGCTGAAGTCATCAAAGAAATTATTCGTCAAAATCAGCAATCAATGAAACGTAGAAATGAAGCTATTAAGTTTTTAAAGCAGCATTGTCTCTCTAGGAAGCAAAAAATCCATGTTTACAAACAGGAGCTCAAAGAAAGAAATGATGCTATTGAAACTCGCGATCAGTTAATTGAGAAAAAACATGAAAAAATTCACGCACAGGCCGAAAAGATCAAAAACCTCGAGAAGGAATTACATGAACTTAAAAGTGAGAATTCAGATCTTGCCACAAAGGCAAATTCCACAGGATTACAACTCCAAATTAAACAACTTGAATTTCAAGAAGCTTTGAAAGATAAACTTATTGCACAACTTACAGCTCAGCTTACAGCGTGCCAAGAAGCCGTATATAACGATAGAGTAAAGATTTATAATGCTATGAACAAAGAGCCCGAATCAACAGTTGAGCCACCAGAAGATTTCATCGAAAATATACATCTTGCCGCAAAGAAAGGAGATTTGAAGTCATTAGAGTACTTGATTGATAGATTTCCAGATGCTATTAACGCAATTTCAGAAAAACCAAAACGTACCGCTTTACATTTCGCAGTTGAAGCAGGACAAACAGAAGTTGTTGAATGGCTTGCAGATAATGGCGCAGACTTAAACGCTCTTGACGCCAGCTCTGAGTCACCCTTGCATATTGCTAGTAGGTGTGGTTTCCCGGCTATCGTTCAATTGCTTATTAAGAAGAATGCTTTGATTGATATCATGGATGCCGCTGGCGAGACTCCATTATATTCAGCAATCAAGGCGAAGAAACTCGATGTTGTTCAGATTTTGATTGCCGGAGGTGCTGATATTGCTAATCGCAATAAGAGGCAATTAACTCCAATTCACTGTGCAGCTGAAATTGATAGCACTGACATTATGTCGGAAATTATCAAGGCTGGCGCAGATGTTAATATTTATACTAATACTGGCATCACTCCGCTTTCAATGGCTGCTCAATTTTCAAATTCAATGGTCTTGAAGCTTCTTCTCGACAAGAAGGCTGATCCAAACATTATTGGACCTAAGAACTACACACCTCTCCACTTCGCAGCTCAAAATAATGATAAGATTTCTATTGGATTACTTCTTGCCGGTGGTGCAAAGCCAGACATGAAGACATTAGATGATAAAACACCGATTGACCTTGCTACAAGTACTGAAATCAAATCATTGCTTAAGAAGGCAGTCAAAACTGAATAATTTGGGTTATTTTGGGATTATTGTACGAAATTTAATAAACATCAATGAATTACAATTCTGTTTTTCATACCTTGATTTCAACCAATAACATTTGTAAAAAAATTATTAAATTTAATATTTAACATTTATAACAAACAATTTATTTCTGGGAGGAATGCATTCCATCTATCTAAAAGCATTTGATCCTCCCCATTTGGTCTAAGCGTCCGCCAATTTATTAATTCTAATTGAATCTTAGTTGTTAATTCATCAATCTCATTAAACTCTTGTGCAATCTTGGACTCAGGAACTCTATCTTTCTCCCTCCTTCTCAAGGCAAGAAGTTGGTTGAGTTTTCCAAAAAGATCTTTCTTTTTCTCCATCCTATCAAATCTTTCTGCATTCTTAGCTCTTCTCTCTTTGCGTTCATTTGTTAACTCTGTAACTAATTGTAATAAGTCAGGATTTACTTCTTTCCTAACAATATCATGGAAATTATCGATCCTTTCACTCTGTTTCGAAAAGATTTTTTCAAGTTTGATTTGATATGATCGAACTTTAGCAAACAATAAACCGTTTTCACGTGTGATTCTCGCAATCTCTGTCTTCAAAACTTCTGATTGTTGTGTTAGTTTATTGATTTCGCATTTCAGATTCTCTTCTGCTTTAACTTGTCTCATTGAAGCAATTTGAGCAGAGATTCTAACTCCTCGATCTTTATTGAAATACATGTTACACAAAACACAATCATTTTTAGATTCTTTTGGTTTTTCTTCTTGAGTTTCTTCTTTGTGGGATTCAAGATCATTGATCTTTTGCGTGTATTCTTCAGCCTTTTTCTCTTTTTCGTTGATTATTTTATTCAAATTTTCATTGTAATCAGTATAATATTTTATTTCTTTTGCAACTTTTTCTTTTTCTTCAGTGAGAATCTTCAACTTCTCTGTTGCTGTTTTTGTTCTTGCTTCCATTGTTTGATCGAAGTCATCAATTTTTGTTTTCAACTGATCCATGATTTTTTCAACATTTGGAAAGGTTGTTGGATCTAAAGTAAGTGTTTCTGGATTTGATCCTGTAATTACAACAGCATTTTCAGTGTTTTGCTGTTTGACATCAAGTTTCATATATTGAGTAGATAGTTCTGATATTTTCTTGGTAATTTGAACATGTTCATTATGAAGAAGTATATATTGTTCATTAAATTTATATGATTTATCTAAATCTTCTTTCAGCTTAGCTTTAATTTCATCAATAATAGACTCATTTTGCTTTTCTAGTTGATTCTTATAATTGGAAAGTTCTTCAACCTTTTCTTTGATCTTTTGAGACTGATCTTGAATTTTTTTAATTTTATTGTCTGAGTATTGCATTGCACTATGTAAATCGGCTATTTCAAGTTCAATTTTATCGATATCACCAGTGTATTTAGTAATTCTTTCTTCTCTTTGATGCATGAGATTATTTAATGCAATGTGATTAGGTAAGTCTGAATATTTGTTGGTAAATATAGTTTGCTTCTGCCCTAGTTTGACTTCACGAGATTCTAATTTTTCTATATATGCCTGATATTCATGAATTTTCTCATCATATAAAATCATCTTTTCTTTTGTATTTTGTAGTTGTTGAATTAGCTTGTTACGTGAAATAATAAGTGATTCAGCCTCATCGTGAATATTCTTTAATGTAACAGAATATGTATTCTGAAATCCACCCATATCTTTTCGTAGTTCTTTCTCTTTTGCATCATTCTTCAACTCGTTAAACTTTATTCGTGATTTTATATGTTCTTCGTAAGAAATAATTTTATCAACTTGAGATTGTAACTCTGAAAGCTGTTGGTCCACAGCAACATGAACATTAAAACGTTTTTTGATCTGAGTACCTCCTTTGTTGATAGTTTGAGTGATTGAACGCTCAAACTTCGACATCTATTTATCAAAATCTCTAAACGTGCACAAAATTTACTCCTTGAATCAATCAAATTTAAATGAAATATCATTATTCATTCAAACCAAAATCAATAATTCATCACCAAAAATTAACATATTTCATGATTTTGGATGATTTTGAATCGAATTTTATCTCAAGTCATGAGCTAAATAGTTAATTATCTAGCTTAAGCTTTATTAACTTGAAATGTACTGGATACATAATCATTTACGCTCAAATTAAAATAAATTGATATGAATTGTGTTGATATCAATGCTTATGCTTGAAAAATCGTCTGAAATGATTCTATTCCTTGCATACCGAAGATATGGTAGTTCATTTAACTAAGTTACTGTATTTTATTATTCATTTGAATTGAGTGTCAAAAAATATCATAAAAAATGTTATTGAATTTTACTATTCAGCATCTGGCTTTACAAAAGTACAGCGGCCAATCGCCTATTTTCAATATAGGCAACCGTGGTAACTGTGTATTTAAAGCTTTATCAATAAACAAAATTACTTCAAATTTCATTTATTCAAATCAAAAGTTTCAAAGATTAGAAATACTGAACTCGAAATTTTCACATAGCCTTAAGTCTGTTGTTAGCTTAAATAGAGATGATACCATTAATAACACAAAATTTCATGATGCCCTTGCCCTAGATCAAGATACTATTGTAAAGAATTGTGTTTTCGATTCATGCACATCAGAAGCTAAAGGCAGTGCTATTTCCTCCGAAGGTCGTAGACTTACAGTAGATTTTTGCCTTTTCCAAGGTTGCGAAGCTGTATCTAATGGTGGCGCTATTTACATACAGTCAGTTGGATTTTTAGTTAAAAAAAGTTGTTTTGCAAATTGTACAACTTCTTCTTTTGGACAAGCGATTTACCACACAGATGGAAAGAATCTCGGCGAAACTGATACAGTTAAAGATACAATATTCTACAGATGCTCTCTTAAGCAATATCTTCGAAATGCAGCAGCATTATTTTCAATGACTGGTAAAATGGCATATACATATAATAACTGTACAAAATGTGAGTGCAAGAAGAATGGTGCTTGCATAACTTTCTTAAATTCAGAACCAGAAATTATTTCTCATTCTACCTTTGCATTTAGCAGCGCTCCATCTGTTATTGATATATCTCATTGCCAAACAAGTATTAAAATTCATTACTGCAATTTCCTTTCCAACGTTGCCACTGAAAAATCTGCATTAGTAGTTGTAAGCGCAGAAACCATGATTTCGGAGTGTTACATGGAAAAGAACTCATCTCCTTTTGCAGATAGATCAGTAGGACAGCCATATCAAGTAGTTATCTTTAATTGTACTTATGATTCGCTTGGAACACCATTAACAAATGATGTTGTTTACAGAGCTGGTAAAAACATCGAAGTAGATGATTCTCCGCTCATGATTACTCTTCGCGGACAAAATCATTGTTATACTCATCCTGAAGATTCATTTTTCCGAGGTTTCAATCTTAATGTGTTCTTTATGGTATGCGGTACAATCATACTTACTCATATTCTTATTATTCATACTAATTTCATCTTCAGATTGTTCTCAAGAATTATCTCAGGAGATGAAAGGCAGAAGAAGAGACGTAGAGCAGCAAAGAAGCGTAACGAAATGGAATAAAGCTTTGTATGAAAGAGAATTATAAACGGGCAATTATTTAATGTAAAATATAATATTTGTTGACATTTTTTAAAGTTTTTTATGATAACATCATAATGAAAAGCATTCAGATCTTTTTGATGTACGTATACTGAATATTTTATGTCATTTTTGAATAGCAAATTTCTGAATATCGTTGATATTGTTAATGTTCTATGAATATACTAATAATCTGTAAGGTGTTACCTTTAATTCTAGTTGAGTACTTGGTGTTGAGAGGCGCTACTCACGATTTTCACCAAATTTTAATTCTATCATACTAAATTTTAGTCCTTTAAATTAGCTGAATAGGAAAATCAAATTAAGAAACTAATAACCACAATATAATGCAAAAATTTAATATCAATGTCTTCTAAGTTTACAAAATTTTAGAAAAAAAAATTCATTGAAAATGGAACACAAGCACCATCACTCCCAAAAGGCAGCAGAAGCACAAGAAGAACAAAAAGATCCAAATCTTGGTCTCTTCTGTACATTCTGTGGTACTTTAGTTCCAATTTCCAACGTAGGTCACATGGTTTGCCCATTATGCAAGAAAGCCTTCGATGGCAAAGCATTACAATTCTCTGAGAAAACAGTTAAAATTGTTAAAGAAGCTGACGAAATTACCTCAAAGCAAGGACTCGCTCGTTCTATTATCAAAGAAAAATGTCCAGAATGCGGAGAAGAAGGTTTGTACTTCACAACTGCACAAATTAGATCTGCAGATGAAGGTCAGACTATTTTCTACGAATGTATCCACTGTGGCTACAGATTTTCTCAAAATGCTTAATTTTTTACTTAGAATTTATAGATTAATAGAATAAAACTATGATACTTTTGCAATTTTATTACGTTCTATCATCAAAAAATAGATCTTTTTTATAAATATTATTCAAATAATCTATTTTAGTTTTTTATTTAAAAATAATACTATCAAAATGATATATTTAAAGACTCTTCATGATTTGCATGCTTTGTGTGCTTATATTTTTTGAATTGAAATCGATATGGAAATTGGATATTTTATTTTATAAATTTGATAAATTTTTACATGGCGATAATTTATATAAACAATAATATAATACAAATGAATGAGTAGATTATAGATAACTGCTGATAATTTATTCAATGAAATATTTACAACATGGTATGAGGTTGTAAATCATTTATTCTTTCTTCAGATGCAAAGGAAAATCTTATGTTCCAATATCTCATCTATTCAACCAAACTCTCTCCCGATCAATTGTCATAAAAATTAGAAAAAACTTTGATGTCTCTACAAAATGAATTAGAAAATGGCGAATTCTTAATTTTCGAGGATGGAGGATGCCACATGGTTGGACAAGCCCAAAAATCTGTCCAATATACCCCATCAACGCTTTCTTTGACAAATTTACATATCAAACTTAACCCAAAGTATGATCTTGAAATCCCAAGGAAAATTGCTTTAAGGGATATTACAAAATTCCAAGAGAAAGTTGTCGAAGATGCACCAGTTTTAGAAATTTTATCAGATGACGTAAGTCAAACAATCTTGTTATTTATTCCAGAGGAGCCACACAGAATAGCCTTTGTCAAATTGTTCCAGAAATTATGCGCCGCAAATAACCTTGGCCAAGATAAATGCAATGAATGCGCTTTGAGATACCGTCTTCAAATGAAAGCATCAAAAGACTTGAACCAATTCTACTCTAACATCAATTCAGGCAATGAAAATGAATCTCCTATCGATCAAATTCTCAAACCATCAGATCTTTCTTATTACCAACTTTTGTCATCATTCCATGTCGTTTTTACAGTCTGCAATTTCATCTCAGATATCCAAGATACATCTCCGATGCTCTTTTTCGCAGTTCTCATTACATTTTTGGGAATTATGAATATTTTGGCTTATTTCTTCGGTTTCGGCTTCTTGTTTGCATTTGTTCCTCTTACAGCCATCATTGTCATTGCAATTTTGCAGAGAATTGGTCGCTGGAAGTCAGTTCCACTCCCAGATTACACAGATGCTCCAGGAAACATCAAAAACTTCATGCAAAAGATTGATGAATTCCGCCATATTGTTAAAGTTCGCTTTGTTTGGGGAGAACCACAAATCACACTTCAAACATGCGAATTTTTGCTCGTAATGTGTCTTGTTTTCTATTTCTTGGATCCATTCATCATTCTCGCGATTTCCTTAATTGGTTTGTCCTTCTTCGAGCGCTGGGATCCATTCAAACTCGGATCTCTTTCCAAACTCCTTTCTCAGCTCATTTTATGGTAAAAAAATCATCATTGTATATATTAAGAATAAAAAAATCTTTTATCTTGTAATTGATTATCTTCTTTACTCAATTCTAATGCGGACATGATATGTCAATGAAAATCTGATGTATGTCGGTCTTTTGCAACACAGTTTATTTATTTCATCGAAATTTATAGTGTCGAGAAAAAAAGTAATGAAATTAAAAACCACTGTTCGAGTACTTTCTGAGACCCAGTTTGTCAGAAAAATGGCAGAAATAAAAAATTTTGACCTTTTAAAGTTTTGTGTCAGAAAGTTCTCAAATTTCTTCACAAACAATTTTTTTTAACTCGGAAAGTCTATCCTTTCAATGGGGACAATTACCACTTTCTGACATTCTCTCAATTTTTTTGACATATGAGTTTTATGTTCTAATATTCTTAAATCAAAAATTAATGTATTTGGTAGGAAAAAAGTTATTATAATTCACCATATAGTACTAAATATGGCAGTTGATCTTTCTTAGTATTGACATAAAGATATTTTGTCATTATGTTTATGAGAGACAGACACGAAGAATATGATTTCAAGTTTATGAGGGCAAGTCAAAAAGTGATAAGTACACCCTTAAGTGACTTAATAAAGTCTATCCTTCAATCATTTATTCGCATCTTTATAGCATCATTGAAAGATAATCTAAGTAATTGGAATAATAAATTTAGCTAATTATCTATCCATGATGCTAGAAATTATTAATTGGGGATGCATTTATGTATATTTGACTTAAATGCAAACCACTTACAACTGACATGAACCATCAAAAGAATTTATGAATATGTATATGTTTTTATGAAATCTACTCATTTATATCGAGGGTAACAAAATAGATGTCATGTGAGTTTTTGGCATAAAAATGCATTTATTCTCATTATTCTATCTGGGAACAAGAGAAACAGCATAAACTAATTTTTGAAATTTATTATTACGATTAAAGCCTTCTACTGTCTTTTCATTATTTATTTTTTGATTTGCAAGGCATGAATCTGAGGGCAAATGCTGATTTTCTGGATACATAAAATCTACTCTCTCTGTAATTGTGGCAGGACTATTTACATGAGGTACAAAATTACCAAAATAACATCCTTTAACTATCATCTCATCTTCAGTATATGGATAGAAATAGTCATATTTGGCGACAACATTAATAAAGTTGCACTTATTGATATATAGATTCACATAATAAGCGTAAATAAAGTAATAGCATGCATTGTCGACGTAGTTACAATAATCTATTTTAAATTCGCATAGATTAGATGATGATGATGATGTCCTGGATCCTTGATGGATTACCTCAGCTTGATAGTCACGATTTGCTGCAGATGTATTGTTTGAAAATGTTGAATATGTTATACTTGAGTTAGAAGTACAAGTAGCAATATAGTAATTTGTGTTTCTCACTATTGAGTTTGAGATATTGATTGATTTCATATTTATTTCTCCAAAACACATATAAATATTACTTACCCCATTTTTGGTTTCATAACCACTTGATATAATTATTGAATTAATTAGATAGTTCTTAAATGAAGGTGAAGATGAAACTCTTACATAACAATATGCGCCATGGCTTGTCGATTTTGAGCCATAACTGCATATACGGTTTTGAACACATTCGCAATTATCAGAAAGTACTAACAAAGAACCACCATTGTAGTTCTTGTATTCACAATTGTCAAATAAGCTTGTTTCAATGAGAAATTTCAGATTGTCATTTGTTTGATCTTCGATTCGAACTGCACCTGTCTCATTGAGAGAAATAAAGAGACAAAAAGATATGTAATAACTCTTGTCAACATTATTATTGAAGGATTCGTTTTTGTTTCGGAATTGTGTATATTTGATAGAAGAGTCGAAGAAATCTTCCCACTGTTTGTGAGAAGCAACGAGAAATTTATGTAATTTACGAAATTCATTTAAAGAAAATATCAATTTGAGCTCTAAGTGAAATGACATCAGTAAAAATTTCTTATAAAATTTGTTATCGTCGTTGTAATTTAATCGACGACTTTAAGGTTAACTTTATAATCTCACAAAAAATAACTCTCAAAAACCAATAACATGATATGAACTCTAAAATATTTTTAAAAAGTTTTAGAGATATGAAAGTCTATTCTTCCAACAAGTAGACTTTTTAAAAATTTTTTGCAGAAATTGCAATAAAAATTGTAAGAAATTCACGACCAACGTTATTTAACAATTGCAAATTTTGTACGTCTTTCTTTTTATATATCATTGCTAGAAACATCCTGTTTCTGAATTGAGTATAGAGCAATGCGTAATTGCACATTAGATAAATTATGTGTCTATATATAAATCAACTTATGGTTCGATCATTAACGAATGTTGCATCCAGTCCAACTGAGAAATTAATGCCATCAGTTATAAAGCTTGAATAATTTTATCACAAATATGAACAAAAAAGTCTTCATCAATTGTAATGCCACCAAATTCAAGTGATATCAAAAAAACTTGTATATATTAAGAATAAAAAAAATCTTTTATCTTGTAATAAAACTAACTTTTAACAATCAATCTTTAAGTATAATAATGGTACACTTACCACTTTCTGACATCTCTCATCACATCAGGATGTGACTTATTTTAATAACAAAAAAGTATATTTTTATAATATCTTTTTACAGATCAAAAACATTAACTCTTCACCTTGGAAATTGGAACATAAAGTTTGGATGTCAAAAAATTGAGAGGATGTTAGAAAGTAATAAGTGCACCCTAATCCCTCTTGAAACTCTTCTCAGTCTTTTCATTGGAATAGATTTATAGGTGTTTGTCCATATTGGTACCTATTATATCATACCAATAATTACAAATAATCACAAAATTGATAAGGTATACACTTATTACTTTAAGTCAGTTTCATATCCAAATAAACTGAATCTAGCCTTTTCCATTTAGTATTTAATGTAAACTTGGAATACTAAGCGATAATATTATCTCAGAAAACAAGAAATTTAAAACAAATGCCAAGAAAGCTAAAGTTATTTAGGAACAAGAGATGCGCCATGACCTGATGCCTTGGAACCAAAACTACATATTCTGTCTTGAAAACACTCACCATCACTAGAATATACGTATAAAGAGCCACCCTCGCCAATCTTGTGCTCACATTTGTCAAAAAAGCTTGTATCAATGAGAAATTTAAGATTTTCATATGAATAGTCTGTGATACTAACTGCACCCGTCTCATTAAGACAAATAAAGTGACAAAGAGAGATGTAATAGCTTTTATCTGCATTAATACTGAGATTTTGGTTTTTATTTCAGTATGATATGTATTGGATTGAAGAGTCGAAGAAATCTTCCCATTCTTCGTGAAAAATAGGGGAAAATTTATGTATTTTATGAACAGATTCATTGCCAATATCATTATTTCAAAGAACATCAAATTGAACTCTAAGAGAAATCTGAATTGTCAATATCATTCCATAATTCTTTCATGTAAAAATTTTAACTTTACAAAATTTCTATATCGTCATTGGTTTCTTATACATCTCTTTAATTTCATGATGATATGAAAACCGGATAACACTCTCCACTACATCATCTGTTAAACGATGTTTTTCACTCAAAAAATAATTTGAAAATCAAAAAATGATAAAAAAAAAGATTTTATTTTACCATTAATTTCGGTATATAGAATTAATTTTAAAATCCCGTCATTCATCTACAGGGTAATGAAATTGATTCATATCAGATAGTTGCATAAAAAGCACATTTATTCATGATTACTAAATTACAACTACAATTCACAAAAAATCATATATATTAAGTTTTTGTTCAAAATTTATTTATTTTCGATGGTTTATTTAGGAACTAGAGAAACCGCATAAACTAATTTTCTGAATTTATTATTTCTATTAAATCCTTCAACTGTTTCCTCGTTATTTAATTTTTCATTTACAAGGCATAAACCTGAAGACAAATGTTGATTTGTTGGATAAATCGAATCTACTCTCTCGATAATTGCAGCAGGTCTTTGGGCTGCAGGATCTTGTATATCAAAATAACATCCTTTGATTTGCATTTCATTATGAGTATATGGACTGAAATAAATCTTTTTGATGCCATTTTTATTAAAACTGCAATTATTGATATATATAATTACAATAATCAATTTTAAATTCAAATTGATTAGATGGCGATGCTCCAGATCCTTGATGAGATGCCTCTGAATTATATTCTGAATCACTTGTAGACGTGTTGTTTGAAAATGTTGAATGTGTTATGCTTGAGTTAGAAGTACAACTGGCATAATAGTAATTTTTGTTTCTCACTTTTGAATATGAAATATTGATTGATTTCATATTTATTTTTCCGTATTCCATATAAACATTACTTCTTCCATTTTTGGTTTCATAACCACTTAAAGTAATTGTTGAGTTAATTAGATAATTCTTAAATGCAGGTGAAGATGAAACCATTATACAACAATATGCGCCGCCATTTGTCGATTTAGATCCATAACTGCATATACGGTTTTGAACACATTCACAGTTATTGGAATTTACGTATAAAGAACCACCTTCATCGCTCTTGTGTTCGCAACTGTCAAAATTATAGATCCGTATTTTTCCCAAGTGAGGGGGGTATCTCCAATCCCAGCCCTATCGTCCTCCCAGTGTCAGTTTTCAATATAAAATCCAAATTTTTTTTGAAAATAAAAATTTCGAGAAATTTTTCTGATTTTTTTTCTTTAATTTCAATAATTCAAAATAAATTTGGGAGTAAAAAGACACTATTTAATGAAATTCATATGAGTGAATGTGGATAAATACTCTCAAAACATACAATTTATCTATTTTTTCTTTATATTATCAACTAATTAGTGATAATTTTTTTTGAATCAGATTTTTTTTTCATTAAAAACATAATATATAACACAACAATGATGCACACATACGTATCTACACATCAAAATATAAAGCTTGTTTTGGTCTGGGCATCCCAACCCAAAATTCTTAAAAAATTGAATAAAATTGAATACTTGGGGCTGGGATACCCATCCCAAAACCGAATTGAATTTTTTGAATTAAAGAATATATTTATGTATTTATAATATACATGTGATTTCTATAAAAAATACTAAATTCTAAAAAAAATTCAATTTATTCAAAACGTATACTAAGTGATCACTTCATTAGTAGGATCAGCAATCCTACTAAATGGTGAGAACGCCACTAACTCAAAAGGTCCTTGGAGCTCTTGATCTCTTGTCAGTAGAGTTCATAATGAGGCATGGCATCTACTGATTAGAGATCAGAGCAATCCTACCTTACCTTCAGGAGCTACAAAGCTCCTAATCGTTACGAGAGGGAGCCTTGGAGCTCCTGAAGCTCATCAGCAGAGGCTATTTACCATTTGGGCCTCTTCTGATGAAAGATGCGAAAACGTCTACGAACCAGGAGCTTCAAAGCTTCTAATCCTTACTAAAGGGAGCTTTGGAGCTCCAGAGTCTCCATCAACAGAGTCCCAGATGGTAAATGTCCTTTGCTGATGAAAGATGCGAAACACATCTACGAACCAGGAGCTCCAAAGCTCCTAATCCTTACGAAAGGGAGCTTTGGAGCTCCTGAAACTCCTTTTACTATAAAATAGGACAGTTTTCTTCTGAAGTTCTCATCAAATCTAAGACTTCAGAAGAAAGCTGGCCTATCAATGTATACTTACACTCTCATGGACTACAAGTGTACAATTTTAAGGCAGAGATTATCCGAGGCCTCTCATCAAATGAGGGACCTCGGATAATCTCTACCTTAAGTAGTCAAATAACTTTTCTCACTATTTAGGAACAAAAGAACAAGAGTTGGAGTACTTTAAGGCAAGATTCTTCCGAAATCTCTCATCGAATGAGAGACTTCGGAAGGACCTTGCCAAATCCTTGAACGCCAATATCCTTGGAACTGAGCTAGAACCAGGGAGAAGTAGCATACTATAGAGCACGATGGTAATCTCGGAAATGCTTATATCGCCCCAAGCACAATATTTAAGAAGTCTAACTCATATATACAAGAAGTCAGGCTGAATAGATATTGTGCATATGGTTTGCAGAACTCTCATGATATTTCAAATTCATGTTATCCCAAAAAAGGTGACACTTTGGGTGTATCGTCCATCCCAGGGATGCAAAAATCACATCACCTTGGATCTATAGTCAAATAAGCTTGTTTCAATGAGAAATTTCAGTTTGTCACTTGTTGAGTATGTGATACGAACTGCACCCGTCTCGTTGAGACAAATAAAGAGACAAAAAGATATATAATAGCTGTTGTAAACATTTTGATTGAAGTATTCAGTTTTGTTTGTGAATGGTGTATAATTGATTGAGGATGGAAAGAATTCATCCCACTCTTTGTGAGGAGTAATGAAAAACTTATGTAATTTATGAAGATCATTTAATGAAAATATTAATTTAAACCCTAAGTGAAATGACATTTATCCGAAATTCTATCATTACAACTTTACAAAATTCGTTATTCGCCGTTGTATATTCACAAAAAAAGTTATTTCTAAAAACCGAGTATATGATATGAACTCTATATACATGGGCTGTTATAGACCTTCTAGAGCAACAAACTCTATACATTAATAAACAAACAAGCAAATAATACTATAAAGTTTCAAAAAATTTTATGATATTAGAGTTAATTTATCAGATAAAGAGAGTTTGTACGAATATATTCGAATGAATGACAAAAGCATAATAAAAATTCAAAGTTCAGATTCATAAAAATATTCCTATTATTTTTGAGAATAAGCACATAATGGTTAAGTAATATAAGGATAAAATGTTTACTCTTGGTAATTTGGTATATTTTAATTAGAATTTTTAACTCGATTGAGCAATTATACAATTTTTTTTTCATTCGGATCTGCTATGTGTACATGTCTTTTCCTGATATCATGTATTGAAATCCATCTAAGCACTTTCTGCTGCAATTTTTACTTTTTACTTTTTTCTTGATATAATTTCTTTGATTTCTTATATCACTAAAAGAAACATCCGGTTTCTTAATAGAGTAAAGAATAATGTATAAATGCACATCGGATAAAATATCTATCTATAATTATAAAAACTTTACATTTGATCATTAACGTGTGTTACATCCAGTCCATTTGAGAAATGAATGCCATCAGTTATACAACTTGAATGATAATAATTTTATCACAAAAATGAACAAAAAAGTCTTCATCAATTGTAATGCCACCAAATACAAATGACATTATTATCTTTTATGAAGCTACTCTGTCAGTCAAAAAACTTGTGTCTATTTTTGACGGTTTGGCTGATTGTCAATTCAATTAAAATTTTTCTGTCACTTTTTCTCGATTTTTTTACTATCAAATTTAAAAAAAAGTTTATGGAGGCGACCAACGAATGTATATTATGTGCAGAGCCAATGGAACACAATGTTTTGCTTCCATGTGGACATTCACCAATGTGCATGAAGTGTTACCTCACTCTTCAGCAGTGTTACAAACAAAATACTTGTCCTATCTGCCAGAACGAAATTAATCCAGGCCCGATAATCACAGACAAGAGCGAACCACTTGCATATGAAGAAGAGGTTAAAACTGGATATAAATTCGATGAAAAGCTTAAGTTTTACTATTCAGATGATAATATTCAGCAAGAAATGCAATCCTTCTTGAAATACCAATGCCCAGAATGCGGTGAGTACTTTACAAACAAAAAGCAGTTCCAAGGCCACATTTTAACTCATGGCCTCTACTGCTGCAACTGTTGCTCTCGTTCTGGCAGGTTCCTTAACATCGATGTACCTATTTTCTCTAAGCCCGAGCTTAAATTACACCTCAAACAGCATCCAAAGTGCTTAGTTTGCCCATATCAAGCGTTTGATGCTCATGATTTAGGTGTACATATGAATGACTGCCATGTAAGATGCAGCTTGTGCGCAAAACATGACAAAATCTTATGGTTTGCCACTAAAGAAGATGTATTTAAGCATAATCGCGAATGCCATTGGATTTGCGAGCATCCAGACTGCATGCAGCTCACTACTAATGCTTACAATGACCAATTGGAGCTCCAATTCCACCAACTCGGTGTTCATAAAACAAAAATTCCTTCTACAGTCCATCCCATATCAGAAATGAAGGAAGACAAAGAAAGACCAAGCCAAATATTGAGAGAGCAGCAACAACGTCACATGGATGCCTGCAAGAAACTCGCATTTAATGCAAATGATCAATTCCACGGAAATAGAAAGCGCGTTGGCAACTTACTTAAGAATATCGACTTACTTGACCAACACCGCATTACTCCACAGGAGTTTTTGAAGAGTTATCACTCAATTTGTGGAAAATGTTCCGAAATTCTTTTCTGTGATACAATTGCTGCTGTAGGAGATGCAAAAATGCGTGCACTGATCGTCAGACTACAAGAAGGCTACAGACTTGGCCAGTTCCAGGATGATTCAACACTCGCAGTTAATGTTGAAGATTCTCCTGAAGAATTTCCAACGTTAGGTTCTGTTTACGATGTCCCTGATCGACCACAAACCGCCAAAAAGCCATCAAAACCAAAAGTTGTCCGTGGAGGCAAAACTTGGGATAAAGTTCGCATTGGCGACGAATGAAAGCCACGCGGAAGAGGCCGCGGACGTGGAAAATAAGATATTATTTCTAGAGTATAAATCTTTTGTGTGTATCTAAATTTTTCAAAAATTATTTCAAAAATTTTTATGATTATGATATGCATTGCCATGAAATTGCGAAAAATTGTATGAACGTAAGTGGATTCATCATCTTATTATATAAAATAAGATTAATATTTTTATAAATTTTTTTCACATTACACTACGCTGTAAATTTGATCCACTGCTATATTATATTTCGGTGATGCTTTCATTGTTTGATATTTGTTCAATATTTTCTGGGAATTCTAAATATGCTTGTAATGTTCTGATTTTGAGGATTTGGATCTCTCAATTTTGCATCAGTATTGATTTTATGTATCGATATTAAGAGTTTGGCTGTTTCATCTCTAATTTCCATTTTTCAAGAAATATATTAATAGTAATAGCATTTATCCTTGAAAGAATTAAACAAACATAGGTAATATAAAGTAAATTCATATTCAATTGGTTCTTTTTAGTTAATTTAATTTTAAATTTTTTTCAATCTAGAATATTGAAGCCCAATTATATGAGAAAATTTGATATTTACAATATTGAAAGGCTATATAAGATAATTTCGGATTTGATGAAGTGATGGAAAGCATCAAAAATGAGTGTTATTCACGTGACTAATATTGATTCCGAACTGACAGAAGGTCAAGTTAAGCGATATTTTCGCCATTACGGAGGTATCGCCGACATGACATTCAGGCTAGGAAAAGAAGGAAAGCATGACGGAAAAGCAAAAATTACATTTTATAATGAATATGCCGGATTGCAAGCTTTCGAGAAGAATGGTGCTATGCTCGGCAACTATCCAATTTACATATCAATATCACTCGAGAATCAAGGAAAAGGTTCAGCGGAAAGAGTTTATAAAGGCAGACTTTACAGGATTTCGGAAATTCTTGTTATCATATTAACATTAATCTTATCAGTATCACTACATGTTTATAAAATTTCAGAGCCAGCATACCTAATTGGCGAAGAACCATTAATATTTGACCATCTTAACCAATACATTCATCACAAGCGTCCATACGATGATCAGCCACCATTAGGTAAGCTTATTTACCTCGGCTGGGCCAAGCTTTGTGGCTACAAAGGCACACAAAAATATGAAATGCAAAATCAAGAATATATTCCATTTGATAACACTACGAACTATGTCTTTTTACGTTCCTTATCATGTTTCTGTGGTTCATTAGTACCACCAATTGTTGTAGCCGCAATTTCACTTCGATATCACTCTTTGACAGCACTTTTCCTTGTTGGCTTCATTCTCAGCCTCGATAGTGGCCTTATTACAATCAGCAGATCCATGAGTCTTGACTCAATTTGCCTCTTTTTCTCAGCAATTTCGATTTATTACACTTGTCTCCTCTATCGTCGTAATACATGGTTCAATGGCATCAAATCCACGGTCTTTGCCATCCTCGCGTGCTGTATTCGCTATCCAGCGTTCGGACTTTTCTTTTTCATCTTCTTTTCGAACTGGCATCTCGGTTTCGGACATCCAGACTCTACATGGAACTTCTTTTCACGTACAGCCGGTTTCATATGGATTGGATTAACCATTCTTTCCATTGTTACTGCAATTCATCTGATCATCACTCCGAAATTCGGTGACGCGGACCTCCAATTCCCCGAATACTTCAGGGACAGAGAACTCGCGGAGTCAGTGATCCTCATTATCTGGAAGCAGTTGAGATACAAGACAGGAAAGACGTATAAAACACTTCCACAAAGTAGATACATACAATGGGCGTTTTGGAGAGCTCCTCCAATGGTCATTTACAACATGAGAGATACAATGATCGCTATTGTTAACTCTCCTGCCATTATATTGTCATGTTTCATCACTTTGTTCTGGTGTTTCCTTTTGCAAAAGTTCGAATTTGTTTTTGCAATATTGACATCATGGGGATTCCTCCATTTCTACAAAGCAGCGACATTTATGTTCGACGCTTACGTACCATTGATCATCTCCCTCGGAGGACTCGCAATGGTTTACGACAGATTGCCAAGAATCTTCAAATACACGATTTTGTGGCTTTTGATTCCTCTTTCAGTCTGCGGCTTCTACCTGTTCATGCCAATCACATACGGCCTTCCAATGGATAAGTACCGGTTCTCTCTGATCGCTTTATGGCCAACTTTCAAGAGAACGTGGAATGTTTAAAAAAAATAATAATAAATAAAAAAATATAATTTACAGAAAAATCTTGTTTATTTAGGAATAAGTGATACAACGCAAAACATGAAACTAAATTTATGATTGCGTTTATTGTTTACTTTTATATCTTCCAATGTTTCATCTGCTTTTGTTTTTTGTTTTGCATAACATAAAAATGTAGATATATGACGATTTTCTGGATAAATGGAACTTACATTTTCTGTTATTGTGACCAATAACGCTAGGAATCATAGCATCAAAATAACATCCTTTAAATAACATTTGGCCGTCGTTTACATCAAAATATCTTTCACGAACAGTGTTTTTATAAAAACTGCAATTGATGATATGAGCATCATCAACATTACTCAAAAAGAGATTTTTGCATTTATTTTCTAAGTAATTACATGAAATAATTTTAAACTCAGGTCCATCAATACCTGCTGCAAAGTAATCTGTTATGGTGCTTGATAATGTCGAGAACGATATTTTAGAGTCAGAATTAGCATCAACATTGTGGGAAATTAGTTTTGAATTTGATATATTGATTGAATTCATATTTATTTCTCCATATCTTATATAAACATCTATAAAATTGTTATCGGTTTCATGACTGCTTGAAGTAATTGTTGAATCAATGAGATAATTCTTAAATGAAGATCCATATGAAACTGTAGCTTCACAATAAACACCATCCGTTCTTGCTATTGAGCCAACACTGCAAATTCGGTTTTGAACACACTCACCTAAAGTATTTACGTATAAAGAGCCACCACTGCGGTAGGATTTTTCTTTACATTTGTAAAACGAGCTTGTTTCAATGAGAAATTTAAGATTTTCATTTGTTTCGTCAGTAATACGAATTGCGCCTGTTTCATTAAGACAAATAAAGAGGCAAAGAGAGATGTAATAGCTCTTGTCTGCATTAATACTAAAGTTTTCTGTTTTATTTCTATATTGTGTATATTCGATTGTGCTGAAGAAATCTTCCCATTCCTTGTGGGAAATGGGGAGAAATATGTGTATTTTATGAATCTAGTTATTATAATGAAGTTACAGAGTTCATTTTAAAATCATCCCAAACATTTTTTCTTTTGATCTGGAAACGAAATGGGAATAGTGTAAAATCTTCTCAATTATTTTCCAGGGGTTGCCGGTGTATTTACCCCAAAATATTTGAAATAACTCTACATGGCATTTGCCGGCAAATGCCATGTAAAACTCTCAAAAGTGTGATCCTTATGGTAGCATGAAAACTCACCCACGTTACCATATTATTAAACAAAGAAAATTATCCAATCCAATGATAAAATAAGTAAAAACATCCTTAAATATGGAATGATATGTTAAATTATTAAACAGACAAAACAATTTATTCGAATTTGAGTGTTGGAGTGGAATTCAAGAAAAATCCACCAATAATTAAAGCAATAATAATTAATATAAAGATTGCATACATGGTATTCCTAAATAAAGCTGATCTTCCTGGGAAAAGGATAAAATCATGAAAAACTGAACTCATCTTTTTGTTAACAACTGTTCCATATTTTCCAAACTCGCTATTAGCAATATCAATCATTGAATCTGGAGTAATGTTCTTAATAATTGCAAATTTTGTTTTTGTTGGGTTTCCAATAATAAGAGCAGGTATTTCGTTTTCTTTTAGTCCCCAACTCGAAAGTTCGTTATACTTTGAACGTGTAATGATTGACCAATATATATTTTTCGAATTTGCTTCAGCTTGTGTTTTGTAATCATTAGCTCTTGATATGTTTTTAACAACAACGATCGCAATTGTTCGATTTCTTTTGAGGATTTCGGACCATCTAACAGTTCCGAAAATAGGAGTTTTGTATTCTTGTGAAAAATTAAATATATTTGGTATTGTTAAGTTCGCTTCCATTTGGAATTTCGTATACTCATTCGTGTATACTTCAAGTTTCTCTTCTGGAGCTTTGTGTTGACAAAAAATTGATGGAGTCAATGTAACATCATATTTAACGATTTCGTCGATTACTTTGCAACATTCAGCTTTAGACTTATTCAAATGTAAGACAAGTGCAGGATATTTTTGCTTTTCAATCGGGAATTTTTCGCAAAGTTCATTCATTTTGAGATCCTTTAGCTCCTCAACACGATTTTTGAAACCATTGTAGTCAAAATCTGGATGAATTCCTTTTGGCAAGCCTTTTAATAAACGAACGAAATTCGGAAATGATTTTGCTTTGAATTTATTCGAGCAAACATATGAGAAACTATTACAATCTATCTCTGCTACCATGATTTTTGGATCATTTTTGTATATCCTTGATAAATTATCCCAAGCAGGATGTAAGGAATTACAAATACTACAATATGGAGAGTAACAGAATATAAAAACGGGAACACTCCATGAGACATTTATAATGTGATCACTTATTTTATCTGAAGTGATTCTCATGGAGAGATATGGAAGTATGTTTAAAATCATTTATAAAATTTTTTTTTCCTATAAATATTATGGATACTGATTTGCTACCTATCAACGAAGATGAGTGGTCACAGTGGGGATTTTTAGGACCTCCAGAGTCAGGTTTCAACTATTCTTGGATCCATTTGCAAGATGAACTTAATTTTATCGGCAATAAAACTACAATACCTCATTGCTCATTATACTATTCATCGAGAAAGAAGTTTTTGTTTCTTGTTCAATCTTCCAAATACAAAAAGTCTCTATGGGATATAACTGATTTAGAATTTACATTCAACAAAGATTCAGAAAACTTTTTAGTCATTAACAGGGGCATTTCTTTACTGCACTTGTTTAGTACATCAACAAATTTCATACGACTTCTTGTTAAAATACAGAAAATTCCAGTTAATTCTTTCATTCAACCAGAAATTGAGAACAACATTCAATACGAATCCAAGAAACAAGCTGTCCAAGTTAAAGGACCCACATCATTCTCGACATCAAATCGTGAAACTGGAATAATTTCAGACCTTGATGTAATTATTACGAAATCCGATGAAGAGCGCATTAGAACAGATGGAAAATTAGCCATTTATGATACTAAAATTGTTGTCACTCCAACAAAAGATCCACGTTCTCCAATAACATTAGAATTGAACGATATCGAACATTTTCAGAAAGTTACAATGCTTTGTATATTCTTTGTGTTCTATATGAAGGATGGAAGATGCTATGAAATAAGTTTTAGAGATACTCAAGAATCAGATATTGAATTTGTTTATCATTCAATAGATAGATTATTCCATTCAAAGAAATAGAGTGTGTTTTTAATAATTATAAAAGTTATTAACTTTAATTTTTTTTTTATAATTTTTTTATTTCTTGTTACATTAAACTTTACAACTTATATAAATTGATATGCTTGAATAAATACTGGATACAATCAAAAATGTCATTCTTGTTTATTTCAAAAATCGTAGATGAAAATCTATTCATTAGTTGCCATGAATACCTATATTTTACTTCGAATGCTAGAGTTTTTACAATAATTAAGGCCTTCGATATTTTCCACCTACGTTATTCTAAAAATATTTTCCATTTTAAGATTTATTCTCAAAAGAACTTCTAAATAGCATGCAGATAAATCTACCATATTATTGCTTTAAAATTCTGGAAGATTTTTCATATTTTGGGTGAAAGTAAAAAACTGTAATAAGAAGTTCCGGAAATTCAGCATATTTCTTCTAAGATTGCAAATCTACCATATCATAATAAAAAATGAGTAAATAATGTCAATATTTTTATCAATTTTTTTAAAAACAATATCCAAAACTCCATTTTACAACAAATCAAAGTTAAAATATATCAATTAAGACTCTCTATCAATTTTCGCTTTCAAATTAATTTCTAAATTTGAACAAATAAATGAAATAAAAGACCAAATATATCTGACAATGGACTTGATTAAAATACTTCGAATTAAATGCCAGACATTTAAAAGTATACAAAGCTGTGATGAAATCTATTGTAGAATTAAGTCTTTTCTTTTCATCATCAATAGAAATCAAAGCTTCGAACACAAGTACAAATATTCCTATTCTTAAGGCATAAATTATTTGATAAAGGTCGTAATCGTGATACATCGAAGAAAGACCTTGAATTCCATTTGTTATTCTTCCTAAACTACCTTTTATTACATTACCATCCTTATATCCAATTCCTGTAAGTGATGAGCTATTAATAAAATAAATTCTAAATCTTAAGTCACCAAATTGACAAACTTCATGGTTTTCTGATACACCTGTATCTCTAAACATCGGACAATTTGTAAAACAATCAACTAAAAACAAGAATGAATAAACTAAACCTTTTGTAAAGTGTAAAAGCATTGAGTATCTAGATTTTAGCTGTAATTTATTTGGTTTGACATTAGAAACGTAGTTGTAATAATCGTGAATGCGAGAGATCTTGTGATAAGGAGATTTTTTCAACATTTGAATTGAAGTGTTTTTGAAATTAAGAATGTGGAAGTTTCCTTGACCTTGTCTGAATAATGAGTCATCTATTGTAATATTATTGTCTATTTCGACTGATTTACAGGTTGAAAATTTTTCTGTTAATAATGGTGAATAAACCCATGTATTCATGTATCTATCTTTTGAAAAAGAAAGTTTTCCTTCTGTTTGAGAACCTGATCCTTGGCAGGTTTCGAATAAATGAATAATACAAGCAGTTTTTGCGGATAAGTTAAATACTGAATCAGTAACTATAGGATAATTTAGATTTGAAGTAGAGAAATGAACGAATTGTTTGTCTACTTTCGATGTATTTAGATTTATACTTTTCACTTTCCGCTGAAGAGGTAAATTTTGATTGAAATATGAAGTGAGTAGTAGTTCTATAACAGGAAGATGAGCTACAACTACTATCATAAAAACAACAAATGAAATATGCAGTCTGACCATTAAAAATTATGAAGATTTGGTTTGACATATTGCTTAGTCAATGTGTTATAATGCATGATGAATCAGATTTAATATCATATTGCCTACAAAAAATTTGGATTTTTTATAAATAGTATATTCGGAAAGAGAAATGCAAATACTAGATTCTGTATGTGTTTATATATCACAAATCAGCATCAATTCATAAATATCGAATGATGAATATTTTCATTTTGAACGTTTTTTTCAAATTAACTATAAGAACATAATTATACAAGAGTCAAGCAAATCAATTTCATTTGAATAAAGTTTAATTTTGATGAATTCAAGATTCGATTTTGATGAGACTCCTTTGAAGAAAGATTTTGGATCTTTCTCATTGGATGACATTTCATCAGGATCATCAATAACATCCATTATCAAAAGTATTTTTACAGCTGGAGCAAGATTAACATGGAATGATGTTTATAAATTTGCATATAATGAAGATAGTACTTATTGCGCAATATTAATTGGACAACAATTATTTAGAGTTTCAATATCAGATGGAAGACAGATATTTACTAATGTAGGAGAGAATTATTACGATGTTGCCTATTTATCAAAGCGAGATGAGATTATTGTTTTATCTGACAAGCAAATAACATACTACAATAACAAACTTACATCTATTAAATCCATTCCAAATCAAAATAAATTATTAAGATTAGCAATAATCAATGACAATCTTGTTGGTATCTCAAAATCACAAATAACATTTATCGAAAATACCGAAGAAAAGCCAATCGCAATCGAAGAATGGACATATCTTTCATACTGCAACAGATTAATTTGTTTAGGCTCAAAAACAATAAGTATTATCAACAACGAATACAATACAATCCATCCTGACATCAAATACGAGACAATTAAAGAGATTTCATGCAACAGCAAAGGATCAAAAATTTATATTTTAGATAACAAGAACAATATCACGATTTTATCAGAAGACAGTGATTACATGGAATTTGTTATTAACGAAACTACCGGAACCATGCAAGTAATGCCATGGAAAGACGAATTTTATTTAACATTAAATAATTACAGCACAATTTCATTTTTCAACAACAACGGACAAAGAGTATTATCAAAAAACATAAAACCGAATTCAGTTCTTCGCTACGTTCCTTCTGGATTTTTAATGTTCGATCCACAAAACGTAATTGGCCAAAACGTTCATTTCGACATTGTCAAGTTCACTCCTGTTGATCCTTATGATTTATACACTCGTAGTTGTGAGAATTCTATGTGGAGTGAAGCGAAAAAACTTCAAGAAATTTACAATTTCGATTCTGACATTTTCCATAAATTTTACATCCAAAATAATGAATTAAACAGAAGAATTATTGATGAACATTTAAGACTAATCAAAGACAAAGACTATGTCTACAACTTTGTACTGAATAACTCATCAATTTCCAGTGATATTGAGTCAGCTTTGATAAATGAATGTTTAAGAGTAAAACCAAACGATGAAAAACTGACAAAAATAAGAGAAAGACTTAGAATTTTCACTAAACTGCCAAGGACATCATTTCTGCAGTCAGAATGGAATGAATTCAAAAATTCTGACATAAAAGTGACACTTCAGAATTTTGCCAAAAATCAGAAGTTTAAAGACATAGCAATAATATTCCAGGAATCAAAAGAAATTACAAAAAGTGACAAAGATGACATCATCTCACATTTGTCACCTTTTATTCCACCGAGTGAATACGAGTGTCTTATGCCGAATGATGTTGAATATTTCAAGAAGAAATGTTTTGAAATTGATGACAAAATTGGCCAAACTGACATCTTATGTCAATTTTTGAAGATCGGATCAACGAAATTCCCTAAAGAGTTGTCAGAACTTTATAACAATTCTTTACTATTCGATGAATTCGTTTGCAATGCAACTAATTTAGAAGCTGTGAAAAAATTATCATTTAATGATTTCATTAATTTGCAAGATGAACAAAAATTGTTTATTTTCATTTCTGATAGTAATAATGGTCTTGAAGCGAAAAATATAATAGAAAAGCATTGTCTAAAAATCTGCCAAAATAATTTTGACGGTTTATGTACGTTAATGTCAAATATTTTGTCAGATTCTCCAGAAATGTTCAAAAAATCTCCGGAAACAGACAGAATTAAATTTGTTTCTCAAATTATTGAGATTTTCCCAACAAAAAGTGACTTGGCAGATAAGATTCTTAAATATTCAACAATTATTTTGGATGATACAAATATTTCTGTCATTCTATCGTCTTTCGGTTATTTAAGTGAAGTGACCAAAGATTTATTAATTTTGTTGAAATTTAATAATAAGAATTCCAAACCAAAATCATTCAAACAAATCACAGACAAAACAATTCCTGAATTTATTTTATCTGCTGGAGAAAATTTGTTGTCAAGCAAAAATTTGACATTTGATAATTGGTCGGAGTTTACAAAGACATCTAAACGAGTTTACAAGGATTACAAGAAAGATACAGAGTTTAGGAACAAACTTAAGATGGAGACATTCAATGCAATGCTTACTTTAAAGGAATGGAGTGAAATCGAAATCACAAATTCAAAAGAAATCGATATCTGTTTGGATTTCTGCCAAAAAATGATAAAAAGTGCAAAATCTTGTTCATTAAGAGATGAAAACTTAAGCAGCGCTGTTCAGATTTTGGGAATGATTCCAGATGATATGCAACCGCCAATTGTAAAGTCACTTTTTAACCGTTTTATGATGTATGATGCTTTTAGCGAACTCGACAACTTAATAACACCTTCTATCATTGATACAACTGAAGATAAAACAAATTTGATTTTGAACATTTTAGAAAGAAAAGGTGACAATAAAAATTTGAGAGAAAACTATGTAAAAGTGAAGTCAATTTACAAAAAACTTAATGACATAAACATAGTTTTACTCAATGATTATTTCGCTAAAAAGGCCATAGAAATTGGAGACATCAATTTCGGAGTTGACCTCATTAATGATGGTTTTGTAAATATAAGTGAAACAACAATGGTTTTGTATCTTTCTAATGAGAAATGGTATGACATGAAGAAGAAAGAAACAATCGTTGATGATTGCATTAAAAATTGCTCCCCTAAAAACATCGAAAAATTTATCGATTGTAAAGAAAAATTTACAAAAACCGTCGATGTAAATGACATGTCACTTTTGAAGTTTATCATTGACAGTGATAACTCTGATGCATGCAATTTCGCGAAGTCCAAATTATCGCAGCCAATTGTTGAAATTGTTACAAAATGTACTCTGTCAAATTTACAAAATTTGTCACTTTTTGAAAGTACTATTTCAACTCTTCAGAGCAAGAATATGATCTCTGAAGAAGAAAAGAATGAATTAAGGTCTCGAATGGTTGTTATGATTTCTAGAAGTAAGTCAAACAAAGAAATTTTCAACGCGATAAATATTCTTTCGGAAAAAATCGAATTTCCGAAAGAAATCGTTGATAAATATTGCTGTGGTTTCGTGTCTTCAAACAACAGCAATTTTAAGGATAATTCTACTTTGAATTCTCTTGAATTAATTCGAAAGTGGAGTGAATTAAAACTCGAATTTAACTTGTTGATTTCGTTGATGAAACAATTGAGAAAAGACAAATTGTTGAACCAAGAAATAGCTTTGGAAATTGCTTTGTCTTCCTTCAACATGAAGAATGACTCATTAAGAACTGATGCCAAATTATGGTCTGATATTTTGGATGAAGAAAACGAACTGAAATTACTTGAAAAAACTGGTGATTTCGGATTTGGATTGACCTCTTCCAAACCAAATGTTGTTGTTAGAGCTAAGCTGATGATGAATGATGATGGCGATCTTCCACAAGGAGCAATTGAACAGATCATTGAGAGAAAGGAAGTTCACATGTTCGTTGATACTCCAAGATTTAACCAAATTGTTAAATCAATTAAATCTCCAAAACAACTCAAAAATGTCATTTTCTGCTTGAAGGAAAATGGAAGAAAGAAAGAGATAGCAAGCATTGCAATCGATTACTTCGGAATACCTGATGCTTTGTCACAGAATATTGATGATGTTGTTGATTTAACTTATCAATTACTAAAATAACACAAAATAAATCTTATTTCTAACTTTACTTGCTTTTTTTATTTAAAAACATGATCCAATATAGGTTGCATACTAATATATGATGGTTTTATATTTAGTATTAATGAATAATTTTAATGAGATTTTTATTTAATCGAAGAAAGCCATGAAAATCGATTTCAAAACTTATAGAAATGTATAATATATAATTGAACCCATTTTGATATTGGAAATAAGAAATAAAATTCCTTCTTAAGAATTTTAAAATTTGTTGAAAAATTATAACACTATAAAGATAATTTTTTTCAATTACAATGAGTTTAGAAATATAAATAACAAAAAATTTAAAAATTACAAAAAAAAATTTCTTAAGCAGCAACAGCAACTTTTTCTGGTTTTGCTTCTTCCTGTTCTTCTGCTTCTGGCTCATTTTGCTGTTTTTCTTCTCCATTTTCCATTTCTTGGAGCATTCTTTCGTATTCTTCTTCTGCTTCAGCATCTAGTTCTGGAGTCATATTCTGACTAAGTAAATCTGTAATTTCGTTAACTTTTTCTGTCTCTTCTTGGTTTTCATCCATTAACTTTTCAACCATTTCTGGAGTAAGTTGTTCATTCATTGTCTTAAGAACAGAATTAGTCATTTCTAAGTTCTTAGCAAATTCTTTGATCATCTTTGCATTCTCAAGATGATTGAGTTGCTCTTGAAGTTGTGTTAGCATTCCATCTGTCTTAACAATCATTGCTTCACGTGCCTTCTTGGTTCTTAGAGCAAGCTTAGCACGATCAAGTTTGCCTTCTTTAGCTAATTGCTTTGCAACTTGAATTTGTTTTTCATTATCTGCTTCTAAGCGTAATTGGTATTTCTTTAGACGATCACGATTGACCTTTAATGCTAGAACAGCTTTATCATAATCTCCTTGTTCATCAGCTGCTACTCTGGCCTTGCTTTTTGATGAAGAACAACCCATTGATTTTTTTGATAAAATTTTAGAGAGAGGGTCAAAGTTGCTATTTGTCACTTTTCCACAAGAATATAATGGGGGAAAAGTTATCATATAGTTGATCTCATTCACTGAGGTGAGAGATGCATGTAGTGTAATGGGATAAACAGTAGGATTGCTGCTCTAAGTCCTAGGTTCGAGACACATTGGCTTCATTTTTCTCTTTTTTATTGACGTAAACTATTCAATTTTTGTGTTCTCCATTCAAATTTCAGAATTTTTTTTGCAGATTTCACGCTACATTCGAAGTTACCTTTTGTAACAACCACCACTGCCTACGAAAGACGAAAGTGTGTCACGATTTCACCCGGAAATCCGACGGTTGTTTAAGAGTAAGCACTTTGGCACCTACTCTCAACATTTAAGGTTAATTTAAGAGTATGCACTTTTGTCACCTACTCTAAAATTTTATAAAATTTAGTCGTACAGATTCTTACTCATTTCTTTTCATCAATTAAATTTTTAAAATTTCTTATTTGACCGAAGTAGTATATGTGGAAGGGTTTTGTGACTTTTTTTGTAAACGTAAGAATTCATACAATATTGAGCGATTTTGTATCATTTTTTTAACATATGAAGTAAAAAATGTATGATTCTTACGGTTTTTATTCTTACGTTTTTGAATAAATCAAGATTTAAAAAATTTTCAAAATTGTAAGACATTTACACTCAGCCCAAACATAAACCATTAAAAAAATTAACATTGATTTTAAAATAATTTATTTTTCATCTTTTATAAAAGAAGCTATATATAGATGATGTCAGATATTCCACGATTAATTAAACATTGTTTAAATCCTGAATGGAATCAATAAAGTCATAATCAAAGACCTCATAAACGAGTAAAAGAAATTAGAAACTAATGATTTTCATGAATAAAAAATAAACTTTAAAAATTCATGTCTTACATTTTTGAATAATTTATTTTATTTTTATATAAATGGATAGTGTAGATTTAAAACATTTAATTGATGATTTAGTATTTAATCAAAATTTTCTTAGTTATTATGATTTAAAAGCATATCTCCAAAAACATAATAACTATATAATGGGTGATGATATGGAATATTATTATCCATATTATAAAAATGAAATTTTGAAATATCATGATAAAATAATTTCTAAAATTAAAGACAAAATTAAAAATAATGAATATACAAAGGGAAAAACTAAATCACAACTTAAACAGTTGAAAGATTTCAAAAATAAAGTATTAACAGAAGAAGATATTGATGAATTATATAATTTATATAATCCTGAGCCGCAAAAGCCAAAGGAACAAAAGCCAAAAGTGCAAAACGCCCAGGTCCTTCAGACCATAAATGATGCACAAGTTTTAATTTATGATTCATTAGTTAAACCATATTCAGCCCGACTTTTAAATGAAGATCAACTTTTGGAATTCATCCTTCAACATAAACTCGAAGCGGGAAAGTATATCAAACCTTTATATACAGCATATTTAAAACAAATGAATAGAATACATCCAGAATTAATGAAGGGAGGAATGAAATCCAAAACTTCATCATCCAAAATCAAAGCAGATAAAATTAAACCACTTACAACACCAAAACCTCCAACGGTAGTACCTCCTCCTTCAGTTAATCCTTCATCATTCACTTTATTATATCCATTTCAAACATTAAAGAAGCAAAAAGATTTTAAAAAGGATTTCAAGATATTAAATAAACCAATTGACCCGAAAATTCAACCGTTAAAGGAAAAATTTAGTCGCCCTTCATTTGCTCCATATCCATATTCATACGAAATCGATCATTTAGAATATTCAAAAGGAAACGTTACTTATTTATTTGCCATTAACATTAACACTAGATATTTATATTGCATTCCGGTGAAAGGGAAAACAGAACAGGAAACAAGAAGAGCTATACAATACTTACTAGATCATGAAAGAGTAGATAATATAAGGGGTGATGGTGATAAAGGATTTCAGGCAGCTATGGCTCATTATTTCCCACAAATTAATTTTTACTTTTCATCCTCTCCATATACGTTTCATAATAAAATAGTTGATGCGGTAATGAGAACTCTTAGAGATGTGTTAGGGGTTAACGGTCAGATATACTGGGATGGAAATCATGACTCCATCATACAGCAGTTAGTATATTATTACAATAATACATGGCATAGAACCATAAACATGAAACCAGTGGAAATGAAAAATGATATTTCAAAAGAATGGGAATATATTAGAAAGCAAATGGAAAGGTTAAATGATGTTAAACGTGAACAAATTAATTCGGGGCTCATGAATTTTAAACAAGGGGATAAAGTTTTGATTCATCTCGATTATGGAAAAACTGATAAATCAATGACAAAAAGAAGACGAAGATTTGACACAATAGCTGAATTTGTTAGATATATTAACGGCAATGCATTAGTTGAAGTTGACAATAAATTAATAGAAATTCCGATTTATTTTATTACTCCATTATATTTAAATAATATTTAATTTTTTTATTTCGTAAGAAATGAGTGACAACGAAGCATCCAAGAGTCCTGATTCAATTAAGATTCAGAGTCCAGACGATGAATATAAAAAGAAACTAAACAGAATTAAATCAAAAATATGCTATTACAAAAAGAAGCCGCAATGTGGTGGGGTTGAAAACGATAAAGAGAGGAAAGAAATAATCGAAAAATTAGAAACTTATCGTTCAATCATTAAACTGAGTGAAGCAAAAATAAAAGAATTTAATAGAATAAATAAATTGGTTGGAAGAGATGAATTTAATTAGGGTTGTTAAAAATATCAAAAATTAGCGTTTTGAAGACACCATGGTGTCTTATAATTTTCCCTTTCTTATTGGCGTGTAGAAATAAATGCGCCAATAGATTGAAGAAGAAGAATTGTTTTTCTCTTAATGAACTTTAATCCTTTTGATATAAGAATATTAAAAACATTAATATAATTTCGATTTCGGAAATTAAATTTCCAAATTTTTTGTCGATTTCGGAAATAACAGGATCCCGCATCCAACACGCAACAACAAAACACAAAACACACTTTTTGGTTCTTTCATCGTTTTAATCGTAATTTATGTAATACATGATTTGGATAAATTTTACAAAAATAGAACCTATATTATATTCTTTTCAAAGATTCTTGCAAATCATCAAAAATAATTGTATTTTCAAAAACGATCAAATTATCCTTTCATTATTTTAAACTTAAATTAGTTTTTATGATTGACTAAAGCAATCATATTTATTCATCATTAAATAAACAAAAAAATAATATTTGAGAGTTATTTCAAAAAAAACGCATTGAATTTATTAATTTGTCTCAATTTCAGTATTATAAATTTTTATAATTTCAATATTTTGAAATACACTTTTTAATATTTCAATATTTATGATATTTCAATGTTTTAAGTGGTCTCAAATTGAGCTTCTCAAATATAAGTTGGCCTATTCAAATAATAAAATTAAATAATATTTAAAATAATAAATAAAAGTAAGGGTTTCGTTTTGCTAAAATTGTCACTTTTATAGCATATTTGTTTTTGGATGTTTTGCGAAACCAAAAAAAAAAAAAAACTATGATATACAATGTGTGTGTAAAGAAAATACTTTATTTACTAGTTAAAAAATCATTTGGTATTGATCAAGTTATTTTTTCTGGATAAGATATTATATGGATAATTGGATAGAAAATACAATTATATAATCTTGTACCTGGTTTAATTAAGCTAATTGTCATCAGAAACTTGTAATTTTTATGAATTTCAGATTTTCTTTTCATTACTGCTTTTCTTAATAGGTCAAGTTCTTATTTACGTTATAAAGTATGATATTTACAAATATCAAGTTATCATGTTTTTTGAGAAATTATGAGAAACAAACAAAAATGAAAAAGATAGGAATAGCAATGAATAGTGATGTGGGTATAGAAAATGTAAGAGATATGAATGCAAAGCAATCAGTATTTAGGATATTGACCATAGATTTCGAAAAAAAAATGCTGCATATTGAGCGAAAACTATGATTATATTATAAGGCTGTCATTTAAAGCATAATGAAACTATTCCCTTTTCATTTTAATCGAATAAGATAGTAAAGATTTTTGAATTAGCTAGAAACTGATGAGATGTTTTCACAAATCAGATTTTTAATCTCTATAATGCATAATTCACTCAATATCTCAATTTTGATATTGCGAGATATTTTTGCTATCGGTTTCGCAATTTTGACACAATAGCAAGAGGGTTCTATAAGCATTATTATCAACGTCGAATCTGAATATCATATCAGAAAATGTCGCAAATCTGAATTTACCCGACCAAATAGCAAAAATAATTGAATACTTTTCGCAAAAACTTTAAAAATCGATAAAAATATGAAATATAGATATTAAAGAGACTTTTTATATAATATTCATAAAGATTTTCCAAAAATATGATACCGCAAAATTAAAAAAGTGACGTCTTGAGTGGAGTCAAAGGTCGAAATTGCTAGCTAAATGTTTTTTTAGCGAAATTGCGTATTGTACGTTTTTTTCGCAAAACGAAACCCTTAATAAAAGTGATTGAGGTCATAGCAAAACGGCTGTTTCAGTCATTAATTCTTAAAAATAAAAAGGGTAAAAACTAAATACAATGGGTAAAATTCAATAGTGTCTGTGCTATCGTTCAATTTGAAGGTGTCTTTTGAAACCGCAAGACACATTGAATTTTTGAATAGTGTATTATGGTTTGACAGACACCAATGAAAAAAATAAAATGATATTTATTTTAAATATATAAGATCCTTATATAAAATATAAATATTTTATCGTTTTATTTTCTTGTTTTAAAAATGTTTTTTATTGAAAAATCAATAAAACTAACTCCAAAATAAAATTTTTGATTTAAAGACACTATGATTAGAGATGTGAAAACTTAAATTTAATAATCCCTGGGATGCACTTTCTTCGATTTTTTTAAAATTTTTGGGATAAATTTTGACATCTTTTTTTTTGCTGGCGACCCCCCACCCGTTCACAAAAAAAATATCGAGCGAAGGGGGGGCGCCAGCAAAAATCGAAAATTTTTTTGGTGAACGGGGGGTCGCCAGCGAGAACCTTAAAAATAAACTTCAGAAAAAAAATCTAAAAAGAAAAAAACGAAAAGGCCCTGGGGTCGAACTGGGGAACTTAAGGCTTATACTATGACTCTTCCCACTGAACTATATTATCTGTGGATCGGTGCTTTATAAATTGTAAATATAAAGATTATCATAACGAATTAAAATATAAAATAATAAATATTACTCTTATATATTATTAGATTTTAAATTACAAAATAATAATAACAAAAAAAATATTCATGACCGGAGGTTTTAATTAATGTTTAATGAAAGAGAACGATTCATTATAAATTATTGAATGTTAAATTGTTGTAAAAACACATTGAAATATTTGTGAAGAAAATGGCTATTTAATATTGAAAAATAAATAATAACAAAATGTTTATTTCATTTAGTTGCCATTAAGATATGACGGCTATTTAACAAGTTTTTCTTGGATCTTAACCGCCTAACGTTCAAAATTAACCTTTGTGCTTTGATATTACGTTCACATGTTGCCTCCGAAGGAGATGAACATAACAAGCGTAATGCTATTTCCGCAAGGATGGATTTTTCTCCAATTCTATGCGAGATCTCTTCCCAAGCATAATTTTGTGCCTCGTCCATCAGATCGTTCTCAAAGATGTCTGATTCCTTATTGATGAACGTATTATATAACGAGAGTACAAGCGTTTTTTGTCTTTCGTTCAATCGGAATTGAACCAAAATGCGCTTGAGGTAATCTTTAGCTGCTGTTAGATCATTTTCGGCAGTCTGATGATTATCCTCGCGTACATCTTGCAATGTAAGCCTAAGTTGATCATCAGATTCGACAATTCTACGAAATGTGCCTTCATCTGTTACATCAATTACAGCGTTTGTGTTACCTTCCTCAAAAATAGAATCCATGTAAATGTCCTGTAAATCTTCTGCCGGATCTTTATCAGGAATATGCTCACTTTGAAAGGAACTCAAGGGATCGGCCAAATCTTCTACTTCTTCGTTTTTAACAAACTTTCTATGGAAGTAGAACCTTCCTCTCGGCGTGAGAGAGAATGCCAAACACCATAGCCCACCAAAGTCAGAGTCCAAGGTATAGCTATCCAATGAAGATGCCAAGATGGATCCGAATGCATTATGCAAATTGGATGTCAAAAGATTGAGAGCTGATATGGCTTTACGAAGCCAAATGTAACAATTTGCCAACAATGCCTTATCCGATTCGAATACTAAGATTAGCTTTTTAAGAACAGCTAAACAATCTTTCAATTGTACGATTTTATCGTGATCTACATTTATATATTGCTTGATTTTGTTTTCGTACTTAAGAATAAAGACACATATATTATAGTCATATATCCATCTGGTGGATACATGCTGTGGACATTGTGCACCTATATCGTCAGCATGAATGCGACAAAGTTCTGCAATTCTGTGCACATCCTTTACTAAACTTTGTAACTGGTTGTTCTTGCCAGCAATATATTGATAGCTGTTGTGGATTCTGTGACACAAACAGGGAATAAGCAATATCTTGTAGTATTTTGGATCTCTGTCATGATAGAATGAATCATTCCAAGTATCTTTGAAGCATTTTAACTGTGCTGGTCCTCCGTCAACTACCACACTACCTATCTTGACTTTCCTAATGTCAATTCTGTTAAATCCTGCTGTTATTGCGGATTTATAATCCTGACTTGTCTGGCCATCCTTCATATCTATCGCCTCTACTGGGTATGGCTTCATTTGCTCCAACGGATTTGTTAAGACAAAATCAAGATTGTGGTAATCATGTGTCTTGCCTTCATCGATGGCGACACAAGTGTATGCTTTTTTGGCGAATTCGAGAACTTTAGCAAGGTGTATGCTGTTAGCAATAGCAATCATTCTATTTCGGATCTCATCACGTGTAATAGGCTTATATAATTTGTCAGCAAGTTTTTCCGGATTGATATTAGCTGACTGAAGTTGTTTGTATTTGTTCATCATTTGATATATTGTGAACATAATGAAAATCTTTGCAACATGCGTGAATTCTGGGGATGCAAATGTGTCTAAGGCAAGGTTGAACTTACCGGTAAAAATGGTCATTTCATCGTATACATTCGATAAATCCAACATTGGATCATTTGCTGTTTACCTTTATTGTAGTAGTCAAGTAATGTTTGCTGCGATAATGCTTCTCCGGCCTGACATGTGTGAACATGAGTCTTAAGCCAGTTTTTATAATGATCCTCCCTTTGTTCTTGCATTGAACACCGGCAAACTACGCCATCAGATCGTGTCACAAGTTCATTGCATTTTACATACCACTTGGGACTACCTTCATGTTTATATCGCATGTAAACATGTTGTTTCGTTTCAAGATCGGGATATGTTGTGAACCCGACTTCTTTCATTAATGAAGTGATTTCTTAAGTTGAATAAAAACAAATTTGATTGAAATTCATACAAAATTTTTTTATCATTATTATTTAAGATGCTTTTTTATGTTGAATTGTTAATTTTTTTATTTCCACCTGGGATATTTTGAATTGGGCTAGCCCAATCCCACCTCTCAATTTTCTCTCAATTGGGCAATGGGGATCCCATATAAAATGTATTGTAACAAAATTTTACATGCATAATATAGTACAATTAAACAACATTCTAAAAATATTAAATTCACATCATTTACTTGAAGATTTTATATTTTCAACAAAAATTAATACAATAATTACATTAAATTGAGGAGATTTATAATAATTATTATAAATTAAAATATTATTACTCATTAATTTGTTGAAATATTGCATTTTAGTGGTAAAAATTAAAATTTAAGTTTACATGCAGAAAAAAATTTTAAATTCCAAAAAAAATTCAATTGGGATAACGATAGGGACAAAAATTTAGAATCCCCATATGCTTGGGATAAAATCACATGAATAACTATGATGACACCAGGCAAATCTTCCAAGACACCTATCGTCGGGAATCTAACAACCCTAAATTTAATAAAGATGAATTTTTAAACTCAATCCAAATTTAATTTTTTCAGTGCTACCATGTTACCATGAGACAACATGACATTTTGACAACAACATAGGAAATAAATTTTATCGTTAATGTTTACGTTAATGGTTTCAGGTTATTCAATAATTAATTATTTTTGAAGAACTGAAGGTGTTACCATGTTACCATGTGCTACCAGCTTAATTAACTTCTCTGAAAAAATGAGACAACATGACATTTTGACAACAACATAGGAAATAAATTTTATCGTTAATGTTTACGTTAATGGTTTCAGGTTATTCAATAATTAATTATTTTTGAAGAACTGAAGGTGTTACCATGTTACCATGTGCTACCAGCTTAATTAACTTCTCTGAAAAAATGAGACAACATGACATTTTGACAACAACATAGGAAATAAATTTTATCGTTAATGTTTACGTTAATGGTTTCAGGTTATTCAATAATTAATTATTTTTGAAGAACTGAAGGTGTTACCATGTTACCATGTGCTACCAGCTTAATTAACTTCTCTGAAAAAATGAGACAACATGACATTTTGACAACAACATAGGAAATAAATTTTATCGTTAATGTTTACGTTAATGGTTACGTTAATGTTTACGTTTATGTTTACGTTAATGTTTTCACTGTCACCACGTCACCAGGTTAATTAACTTCTCTTAAAAATGATGACAACATGACATTTAGACAACAGTCCAGGAAATTTGATGCAGTCCAAAAATAAAGTTAGTTTTAAAATTATTTTTATTTTTTTATTCCTATATAAATGACAGCAACAAACAACAACAGCAACTATATCGTTTCTGATGAAAAAGTTATTGATTCATTAGCTAAGGAATTAGTTGTGGCAGAAACTAAAACCCTCAACGAAAGAATTGGTGAAAACAAGATTGATTTACATAACTACCTCAAACACGATGGAGGAAGAGGAAGGAAAACTGGTATGGCTTTATTAGTAAATAAAATTCAAAATTTAACTATTATAGATGTCGATATCAATAAATCGTACAATGATGAACTTAAAGAAACGGTTAGAAAAGACATTCTATCAAAACTTTCGGATAAAGATGTTATCGTTAAAACCGCTTCAGGAGGTCTTCACATTTATTGCAACACTAATTTCTTCTATTCAGTTTCGAACAGAATGATTAAATGTTATTCCTGCAATGATTATGATATTGATATAATGACTTCTATTGATGATTCAAAACGTTCATTAGTGGTTATGGCTGATTCAAGAGTTCGAAAGAATGCAACAGAACCAATCAATACATACTCATTCATTCGTGGAAGTTATGATTCAACATTAACTAGAACAGTGAATGATATATTAAATGATTTGAATATTAAGGTAAGAGTTGAACAAAAGAACGAAGAAATAAAGACTATCATGAATGAAAACAAAGATGTAAACATTGACGATAAACTTGCCCAGAGCATAGTTGATGGCATCTGTGATTTTGAAGTACATAATGACGGTGGAAACATGAATTTAGAAAAAGAAGTTACATTATTCACACTGTTTCAAGCTATTAATTCGTTACCTAATCATTTAATTAATGAAGCCTACGATAACGTTTATAACTTCTGCAGTTTAACAGAAAATGCAAAAAGTAATTTTGAAAAAGCACGTGGTAGATATGCACATTTAATGACTTCTCCATTTGTTTTGGTGAAGATTCTAAAACTATATCAAAAAGAATATTATGATGAGTACGTTTTACCTTTATTACGTAAGCCAAAAATAACATTTGATATAAAACTTGATGACTCGTTTTTGATAACAGATATTAGACGCAAGGCTGAAAATCATCAGTATAAAAACAGTTCTGAAGTAATTGAGGATTTATCACGTGTAATCCGTTTTGTAGATTGTGGAAACAAATATTTCATTCAAAAGGACTATAATATCCACAACAAAATGAATCAAATATCATTCGTTCTTCAATCAAACATGAAAGAGTCACTTAAAATGATTAAATTATTTAAAGAAGAAGGTAAAACAATAACAGCATGGGATGTACTATTAAATCAATTATCTTCATTAACCGTTAAGGGTGTTTGCTTTAAATCTGATTCCCCAGATGTTTTCTCAACGTTTCAGGGTTATAAATACAACATTCTCGAAAAGCCTGATTACTCAAAAATTGAGATGTTTATGAATTTCATTAAAGAAGCCATTTGTGATAATAACGATGAAGTGTATAAATACCTTCTCGGCTGGATTGCATCAATGATTCAACATCCTGGAATCAAGAATGAAACAGCAATTATTTTGAAAGGACTTCAGGGAACAGGTAAAAACAGATTTACAGACATTATTTCTGAACTTCTCGCTGGTTATTCATGTAAAAACATTACTGAAATAAGTGAGCTAACGGGTAATTTCAATTCAGTAGTTGAGAATAAAATGTTTCTTGTACTTAATGAACTCAAGAATGTAGGTGAAGACAGACTCGCAAACTTCAACGCTTTGAAATCAATTATAACGGATAATGAGATTAGAATTAATGAAAAGAATCAACCTAGAAGAACAGCACAGAACGTTGCAAACTTCATTTTCGTAACTAACAACGTCTACCCTGTCAAAATTGAAGTTGGAGACAGAAGATACGTAGTTTTAAGAGTTAATGGTAAATTCAAGGGTCAATTTGATTACTTCAAGAATTTAATGGATTCATGCACTAAGGAATTTTATGATAACCTTTTAACATATTTTATCAATTACGACCTTTCATCATTTAATGTACGAATCATACCGATGACTGAAGCCAAACAAGATTTAATTGAATTATCAACAAATCCTTTAGATGTATGGATAAATACACATTATGATGAATTGTGTGCAGGTATGACGTGTGAAAATGCTCTATTCTGCAAACCATCAGACATGAAAGACAAGAATTTCCAAATGAGTATTAAGGATAAATGTGATAGGAAACATAGAAGAATAGACGGTAAACAAACATGGTGTTATGTTTTGAAAGAAGAAATGAAAGGATTATATAAACAGGTTGAACCAAACGATAATGAGGATTCATTTACTGACGATGAAATACCTGTAAATGAAGCTTTATAAAGTATGATTTGAATTTATTTTTGCATTAATCCTGCTGTGTTGTCAAAATGTCATGTTGTCTCATTTTTTCAGAGAAGTTAATTAACCTGGTAGCACATGGTAACATGGTAACACCTTCAGTTCTTCAAAAATAATTAATTATTGAATAAATGGGAAATAAATTTACGTCAAATATGTAATTTATAAAATCTTATATCGACAGGCTACGTAGCACTGAAATAAAATTTTGTTATCAGTTATTTTATCATCATTTTATTAAGTTCATCTTTAGTTAATAATTTGAATGGATTCGCTAATGTTCCACCTTGAGTCACAACACTTGCCCCAGCTAATTGTGAAGAACCTGGGATAAGTACTCCACGAAATGATTTCATTGGTATCATTAATTTAGAAATAGTTGGCTTAATTAATTTTGTCATTTATGATAAAAATAAAATTGCATAATTTAAATTTTTCTCATTTTCTCATCCTGTTTTGGTTTCAGCAACTTTTCAAGTTGTTGTCTTGTCAGTAACTTTAATTTTAACTTTGGATCAAATATTGGGTTTCCATCTTTATCTCTTCCAATAACACCATATGGTAGAATCTTCATTTATACTAAAATAAAAATTTAAATTATACCGTTCGCTCTTTTGGAGCTCAGGACTTTCAGTCCGTTCTAAAGTTTGTTTCACAAACATTGAGCGTTCATTGAACTCTATACCATGCGAATACAGTCATAAATGGTGGCATGTATTCTTTACTTTGTCCCGTTGTTTGTGTATATCCTGAAACGAAATGTGTATGGTTTCCTTCTCCCTGAGTGTCACTCCAGTAACAATTTATAGCAAACTTAACATCATCTTTAACATCATATCCTTTACCTTTTGTCATTCCTGACCAATCCCAATATCTATGCTTATGCCAACCCGCTTGAGATGTACTTAAATCTATGTAGTGACTGTGTGCAGGTAAATTTTCACCTGAAATCGTTTTACTTCCCCCTGTTTCCTTTGAAGAGTTTGCACAATACAAAAACCTGTCAACTATTTGTTCCCATGCACCAACACCAAACATTACTTGAGGACCTCTTGCATCCATAGATGTATAAATAGAACCTACTGGGTTCATTAAATCAAACATATGAGATATTATAGGATTGTCTCTTTTGAACTTAAAATATAGTGCAACTATTTCTGGTTTCTTCTGGTTTGTGTCAGAATATTTTTTATAATATAATCTTATGTTTTCAGGGTAGGTAAAATCTTGACTATAATATTTATTTCTGTCATCTGTATAATAATATACTATTCTCGTTTTTTCTATTGCATTATATCTTTTATATCTATAATAATCTAAATATAATGTTAGCTTTTGTTCATCTACACGTGGTGTTCTGTCGTCATCTCCATAGTCATAATAATATGGTGCTGGAGCTGGGTCAGGCAATGTCATATCTACCATTTCATAAACTCTTAAATATTTCTTTTGTTCGTCTCCATATAAGTTTAAGTAGCAGTTGTTGTCTAATGGAACTTTAACTTGTGTACCATCATTCTTTTTATAGCTTACATACATTTCATTGTTATTTTTCGGAATGAGTTTACACCGTGTACCATTTTTTAAGGAGTGTACAAACTGCCATCTAAAATATTTATTTTCTTCATTGACAGAAAAGTCACCAACAATAGTTTCAATATTTTTTGTTCCTATCAAACTTTGGTATATTTCGTTAACATATGTTTTATCCGCCTTCTTCTCTAACTCATCGTTAACATATGTTTTATCCGCTTTAAGGTCTAAACATCCTGAAACCCATCCTGTATCAGCTTTAACTTTAAAAGTCTCAAATGTCCATTCATAATACCGTTCAACCTTTTCTTTAATTTCATTATCTTTTTCATCAACATAAACCAAATTTGCCTTCTTCTCTAACTCACTATCCACATATGTTTTATCCGCCTTCTTCATTATGTCGTTTAGGAAACCTTCTATGAATTCCTCATTTAAATTAAATCTTCCAATCTTCAAAACTTTAGGAAATGCATTTAATGCGTAATATCTCTGTTCTTCTGGTGGAATTGATGTTATATCATCCGTTATTCCTTTAATTTTTGAATTCATAAATAAAATTTCTTTTATATTTGATATCACTGCACCACCTTTGCAAACGAATTCGAAATGGTCATTTTTCAATACTATCTCCAAATCTCCATATTTCAACCTTTGCGTTTGTTCTGCCATCTTTGAATTATATGCATATATGGCGTATGTAATGGTCTGAAGGACCTGGGTGCTTTGCGCCTTAAGTTGTTGTGGTTGCTGTTGTTTAATCATTTATTATGATTTAAAAATAAATATTTAATCCGTTATCTCATCAGCTATTTTTTCTATTTGAAATTGCCATAATATTTCATTCATAAATTCTAAATCACAATCAAACAGGTCAGTTATTCTAAATTTAATATTTGATAAATCTTTTGAATGAAGAATAAATGAATTCCCGGATAATTGAAACGGATATGATAAAGAAAATGTGTTTAAGTTGATGGATAAAATGTTTTGTATTGATGGGTAAGAGTTAGGGTCTAATGTTTGATGTGAAAATCTCATTGGGGTATTAACTTTATCACATTTGATTAAAATGAAATTGGAACCAGTGTCAGAATACAAAACATCCCCAACATCTTTTTCAAAATTTAATATCCCCAACAATGAACGAAGATGAGGAGTACAAAATTTAATTTTCAGCGGGAATTTAATAAGGTTATTTATTTCATCAAGTTCAAAAAGTTTATCAGGTTTTGATTTAAAATTTTCTTCATACCATACGATAAATGATTCATTTAAATAACTTAAAATCGTGTTAATATCCCATTTCGCTATCACATTATTTATATACATATCATACGTTTTTTCATGGTCATCTTTAATAAATGATATATAATCTGAAGGGTCTAAAAGAATGGGATTAAATTTACCACTCACAGAAACGAGAGTAACATTATAAATTCCGCTAACTGTTAAATTTAATTCACAGTTATTATTCGAAATAATATTGATAATTGACATTTTTATTACGATTAAAAATATGGTAAAGCGTTATTTTCCAGTGATAAATAAAACTAGAATAAGATTACCTCAAGAATTCATAAATTCAACGAATAAGAAATTCATTCATGTTATAAATTTTAGTGTTTTCAGAAAATTTGAGTCAGTGTCATATTCATCAACAGGTTATATTTCACTTCATTCAAATTTAGTTCAATCAAACCCATATAATGACCATTTCATAAGATTTTCAGATGGTATTAAAAATGTGATTGATAGATTAAAATATGAACAGATTGACAATATCGAATTTTTGGAATTTTGGTTTAAATATCCCGATGGAAAAAAGATTGAAGTTAAAGATAAAGCTGATACTATAACAAAAACAATTACAATGACCGATCCGGATAGTGGGGAACAAAAAGAAATAAAACAAACGATAGAAACTGGTGAAAGGTCAATTATTATTGATTATGATTCAAAGGATTATTATTCGATAATGTTAATGCTTGAATATTAAATAGCCTTAACAAAGAATTTTTCAAGTGATATTTTATATTCATCAACTATTTTATTATAAATATCATTATATGTTAAATGAAGTTCAGTTGTTGTTCCGTTCTTTGATATCTTAATTGTGCTAATATCCTTTATAGGATTTATTTTTGCAACTATTCCACAGCATGAAACCTCATCATCTATGAAAAATTGAATCTTAACGTCTGAATCTTGAACATCACAAAGAATGGCGATAATGTGAATTAATGATTCATAAGGTAAAATAATTAAACCGGATTGGTCAATTAAATTTATTATTGAATCATAATTATTAATTATTATATCACGGTAAATTTTCATTAATTCTGAATTAATGTCTATTTTATATGGGTTCTCGATGTTTGATGAAAGAGGCGGGGGGTATGTTGGATAAGTGGGAATTTCAACAGGTTCTTTACCGGGTTCAGATAAAATGATTTGGTCTCCATTCTCATGGTTTTCTTCATTCTCCTCATTCTTCGGTAAGTCACGAGTTAATAA